CTTAGCGTACCACTCACGAAGCTGCTGGGGCGTGCGAGACTCGCTCGGACGTCGCTGGAGCTGCATCTGGCCACCGCCAGTAGCAGCAGTAGTAGTAGTAGCAGCAGTAGCAGCAGTAATAGCAGTAGCAGCAGTAGCAGCAGTAGCAGCGCGGCCACCCCTACAACCCCAACTAGCGTACCACTCACTAAGCTGCTTGGGCGTGAGGGACTCACGCGGACGTCGCTGGAGCTGCATCTGGCCACTGTCAGTAGCAGCAGTAGCAGTAGCAATAGCAATAGCAGTAGTAGCAGCAGCAGCGCGTGCAGGGCAGGCGCAGCAGGCAGGCAGGCAGGCAGGTCGGCAGGCAGGCAGGCAGGCACGAGGCAGGCAGGCAGGCAGGCGGCATCGCACGAACAAGGTAGGTGCTCACCAGTGGCAGGCAGGGCCGGCGCTCGGCGGGGCCGCAACAGCGGCCGCAGAGTAGGGCCGCGTCGGCGGTAGGGCAGGTCCGCGACAGGTGCTGCAGGGCGGGGCCGTGACAGCTGCAGGGCGGGGCAGCAACGGCGGCAGAAGGCTCCGCGGCAGCTGCTGCAGGGCGGGGCCGCGACCGCGGCAGGAGGCTCCGCGGCAGCTGCTGCAGGGTGAGGCCGCGACTGCGGCAGAAGGCTCCGCGACAGCTGCTGCAGGGCAGGGCCGCGACGGCGGCAGGAGGCTCCGCGGCAGCTGCTGCAGGGCAGGGCCGCGACTGTAGTAGGGCACTCCGTGGCAGCTGCTGCAGGAGCGACGGTGGCAGTCAGGCAGGGGCGGCGTCCAGGGGCAGCCGCGAGGAACAGGGGCAGCCGCGGCGCGCCTGGCTGCAGCGCGCTGCGCGAGCTGCGGGCGCGACGCGCGGGGCTACTGCGCTACGCGCTAAACCCTAAACGTGGCGCGCAGGGCTGCAGCGCGACGCGCGGGCAGCGAACGCGACGCACGGGGCTGCAGCGCGACGCGCAGGCAGCGGGCGCGACGCGCAGTGCTGCAGCGCGATGCGCGGGCAGCGGACGCGACGCGCGGGGCTGCAGTGCGACGCGCGGGCTGCGGACGCGACGCGCGGGGCTGCAGTGCGACGCGCGGGCTGCGGACGCGACGCGCGGGGCTGCAGCGCGACGCGCGGGCAGAGGGCGCGTCGCGTGGGGCAGCGACCTGGCCTGACGGGCCTGCAGGGGCGGCTCGCTGGCCTGACGGGCCTGCAGGGGCAGCTAGCGGGCCTGACGGGCCTGCAGGGGCGGCTAGCGGGCCTGACGGGCCTGCAGGGGCGGCTAGCGGGCCTGACGGGCCTGCAGGGGCGGCTAGCGGGCCTGACGGGCCTGCAGGGGCGGCGCTCTGGCCTGACGGGCCTGCAGGGGCGGCTAGCGGGCCTGACGGGCCTGCAGGGGCGGCGCTCTGGCCTGACGGGCCTGTAGGGGCGGCTCGCGGGCCTGACGGGCCTGCAGGGACGGCTAGCGGGCCTGACGGGCTTGCAGGGGCGGCTCGCGGGTCGTACGGGCCTGCAGGGACGGCGCGCTGGCCTAGGGCAGCAGTAGGCAGCGCGAGGGCTGCAGAACAGTGCGCGCAGCGCAGCACGTCACAAGGCGAGGCAGGCAGGCAGGCAGGCGCACGTGGGGTAGCGTGGTAACCGCAACGGTAGGTGGGCCCGAAAAAAAACGGTCGTACGGACCTAGTGCTCTGAAACCATGTTAGAATCTAGCAGCAGGAATGAATGCATTGAACAGAGATGTGGGTACATATGCTGACCCTAATTTGAGTTGTACCCCTTATGGGCTACCCCACTACAGCCTACACAGCACAAGCATTATCATAGTTTGACAGTAGGTACCAAGCAAGCACACAGCAGTGATGTTCTGACACCATTTGGTTATGAATGATTGTTGAGTGGGCTGTGTTATTGGGGCCACAAATGAGGGAGACACATTGACTATAGGGTGGAAATGTTGTACGGAGAGAAGGCGGGAGCATAATCTAACCAGCAGAAACAACGGGTTTTCAAACTTAAATAGTGGAGTACAAATTAAGTCCACCGACGATAGAGAGAAATATCCAAAGCAAACAAGAACATGCAACTGACGGGAGGCAATTGCAGGGTTCATGGTGGATGAAAAACCGTTCAGCCCAGGGAGGCGAGAAATGCGGCGACCTGGGGCTTCTGCAGCAGGGTGAGAATGCGCCAGGGGCCGAAAGCTTCCTTGGCAGCCGGGCGGTGGGTCGTGGCCGTCACGCGGGCGGAATGGGGGTTGGAGTGGAGGTGCACGATGGCGCTGTCGAGGGCAGGGCCGCATGCGAACTCGCAAAGCGAACAGGTCCAAAGTTCGACCTCGACATCCAGAGGGGCCAGCATGGGTCCCCAAAATGTTCCCTGAGAGAACCAGGCCAGAAGGGCGGGGGTTGAGGGGGGAGAGGACGGACACAAGGGAGAGACGGAAGGGGCAGGTTGGGAGGGGGGCAATTCTGTGTTAAGGGGGTAGGGTGGAAGGCAAGAGAAAGGAGGGAGGAAAAACAGGGGCAGCGGGGGGGCAGGACAGGGGGAGGGCTGAACCCGGGTCAAGCCATCCAACCACAAGTCGGAGCAACTTTTGACGGTGCACAGCACATCCACAGACCAGTGAGCACGAATCTACAAAATAGCGAGCCCATACCCCTTATTGAGGCATGTGAGACTGGGGGGGAAGGGTGAGTAAGAGGGCTTGTTACAATTTGGTGAAAGAGGATAGTTTATTGAATATGCGGGTGTTTTCTTACTTAAATACTCAACACTCGCTTCACGGAAAAAAAAAACTCACAGTCCACCCATTCTCTAATATTCTTACGTTTTATGGAGATTCATGCAGTCTTATCACACTGCTTTTGCTGTATACTAATGTAGATGCATATAGAAATATATGGGCAAACACTGAATTCAGACATATCCAACATCTGGGATGATCGGGTATGCTTGCAGTATTGAGGATATGTACAAACACGTAAAAGAAGAATCCATAGAGGAAATGTCTTGATATAAGTGTGTTCTGGAGGTGTCTGTCATTGCTCACACGAGCCTAGTCCTGCCGACAAATTCTTTTGTCGTTTTACGTCAACATCCCACCGACACCCACCAGCCTTTTCTGTCAGCATGCTAACGCGTTTCGCATCATGTCTGTGTGATAAGGGCGGGTCCAGCGCGTACGTTTACAGGTACTATACAGTTCATTCGTCGTGGTTTGAAAAGATATTAGATGGTGCACAGCGGTTCTGAAATTTCACCGTTATGAAGCGTGACGCAATACAAATTACCGCACTGAATGAACTGTAATGTACGGAAAACGTACGCGCTGGACCCGCCCTAATTGAGCAGAAGCTGACTCTCGCGCTTCGCGATGTGCCAGAGGACGTCCCATCATCTTCCCAAGCCAGCAATCGGACGGTTAGAACAAGTCAGAGTTACGGAAGTTGGCGTCCGATTGGCGAGAAATCTTCTGAGTAGGCAGGTACGTTCATTCCGATCGAGGGCTGTGGTGTTGTGGGAAGATTGTCGGTTGAAGTACAGTGTATTATCTTGAGGTGCGGTGGGGGGACGGTGAGAAGGTGTGGCTTGCCTTTCCCAAGAATTGGACGTTGGTCGGTGTCATTATCTTCCACCCAGTGCCGGTAGTATCCGCTCGAACGAGCTCAATTCCCCTTCCACCCCCATCCGCATGCTGCTGTAGGTTTCCGCACTCACGCGTGTAATGTACAGAACAGATTTCCGCACCCCTCGAGAATGCCCTGATGCGAGTCAACCCCCAAGACGACGAACCACCCATATTTTGTCGAACCGTTTGAACCGAACCAGCCTCCAAGCCAAAACCTCATTGCTTCGTCCCCGTGCCCTTGTCTGCATCCCATTGGACGAGCTAGTATTTTCGCTGAGTGCACGCCCGCTCACCTCACCTCACAGCTCCTCATCAGCAGCCGCCAACCGCCATCCTCAACACTGGGCGGAAGAACGCGTGCGGATCCTCTCCCCTCCGCTCCCCTCCCCTCCCCCCTCTTTTCCCCCCTCACCTCTTTCTGCACAATAAGCCGTCCATGGCAGCAGTGTAATCAGACCGGCGATCAGCCCACATCCCCGCGAATTTCCCCGAATTGACTGCCTGTCCGCTGCGCCTCACTTCCCTACCTGTCGCGTCTGTTCCCCAGCCAAGCCTCCACTCCGCCCCACCATGAACCATCCACCGTCAATTGCCGCCTCAAACCAGTCGGTACGCGGCTTCCTCCTCCCCCATCCCTACCTCTCTGTCCTCTCCACAGCACTCGTCCCACCCCGCCAAGTTCCATCCATCCATCTGTCCGTTCTTCGTCCACCTTCATATTCCTGAAACCCTTGCTCAGTTGCCTATCTCCTCTCCCACAACCATTTCCATTCTTTCTGATTGTTCCTAGATTTTCCCAATTTCCAGGCTGTCTGTATCACTTGACTCAGCTTACACTGGTGTCTAAGGCAACGCCCTTCTTAAACTATACAACACCTTAATAGTACCAATAACCGCTCGAATACTACGTTAGTTTCATTTTGTCGTAGATCCATCAACATGCATAAGAATCAGCTTCAGGAGGTGGCTCAGAAGAACGGCTACAACCTCCCCTCATACGCATGCATACGCGAAGGGCCAGACCACGCACCTAAGTTTAAAGCCACGGTTCTTTTTAACGGCGAGACGTATGTAAGCCCGGGATATTTCGTATCGCTCCGTCAGGCGGAGCACGCAGCAGCCGAGGTGGCCCTCAGGAGCCTCTCAGAGTGCTGTCCGTCGCAGTCCATTGCGACGGTACTCGACGAATCAGGCGTCTGCAAAAATCTGTTACAAGAAACGGCTCAGCGCGCCGGCGTGCCGCTGCCGAATTATAACACGGTCCGGTCGGGTCCCGGGCACCAGCCGGTGTTCACGTGCACGCTCGAGGTCGCGGGGCTGCAGTTCTCCGGCGACGCAGGGCGGACGAAGAAGCAGGCGGAAAAGAACGCCGCGATGTCTGCTTGGTCCGCGCTGAAACGACGTAAGTACCTTCACTCTTGAGCAACCGTGACTACTCCCTCGGAGATGTCTTTCGACTCGAGGCTTTCTTTCATTTTTTTTTCACCAACCCCTTTCTCTCCCCTCGCCTGATCATCCTGATACTGGTAACTAATTTCTGCCCTCCCTTTTCTGTTCCTCGATTATCTCGTGCAGATGCCGGCCGCAATCAAACGGGTCCCATGGAGGACTTCGACGTGACTGACGAGCAGGAGCAGAGCGCCATCGCGCGGGCTCTCGCCAACGCGTACAACGCCAGCTCCATTAAGAGCAGCCCCGCTATTCTCTCTCATCCAGCCGACGTTTCCCACAGCGCGTACCTCCCCTCGCCGTCTCCCAAGGGCATGGCGTCCGCGCCGCTCTACACGCGCAACCGCAGCTCCGTGTCTCAGAATACCAATCCCGGTCCCCTTTACGTCCCGCGCCACGTCAGCTCCGGCCGAACTTCAGAGCATGCTTCCGGCAGCAGCAACGGTCGCACGATGACGTCATCCTCGTTCAAAATGCGTGAAGTCACCATCCGCGAATATTCTGTCGAAGATTCGCTTCCAGATAATCTTGGGAGCATCATGGGTGCGCCTCCGCAGTTCCCGCGCATGACTCACTCCAGCCCGCACATCGAGCCGCCGGCGCCGACTTACACTCGCCGGTCGGCCGCCAGCCGGTCGAACGGCCCTGCCGACATCGGCAGCAGCGTTCCTAACTTCCCCACGCAGCCATTGGTCTCCCAGTCCGTGCCACGTCAGCCTGGCCTCGGTCTCCCCCAATCAGAGCAATCCGCGGGGAGTCAAACTTCTCGCTACACGAACATTGCTATCAAGCCAGGGATGGCTTACCAGCCGCGATCGGCGCGCGGAGGGCAGTCGAAGCCTGCGTACAACACCGGAGCATCGTCGTACGTCCCGGCGGAGCGCATGGACGATGCTGGAAGCGACGGACGCTGGTCGCACAACAGTCGCTCAATGAGCTCCAACGGCGGGGGCCTGCTCCCGAATCCCACGGACGTATCGGGTGCGTCCACTTGGACGCGGCAATCCAGTAGCATGCCGTACTGGTCTGCGCAGGCGCCTATGGGTGCGATGCCATCCAGCCGGCCCGTGTCTGGCTCGTTCGCCGGCGGTAGGGTTGGTGGTGGGGTAGCTCCTGGCATGGGTGCTGGCGGAGATCCTAAGGGCAAGCAGTGCCGCACGGAGCTGGAGGAGGACGTGTCCGCGGCTGAGGCGACGACCCGTCAAATGCTCAACCACCTGTGCTTGTAACGAGGCGACCGAGATTCGAAGTCTGCATTACAGCAGTTAGGAAATGTCTGAGGCGTGTCTTCCCCTCCCAACACCTCCCTCACTCCGCTGCAGTATTTTGTTCATTTGTTTAACGGGGTGAAGTCTCTATGCGAGTGTTACCTCACTCCCCTAACCATGCACTTCTCTCTGCACCTCCATTTTACAGCACTGGCTGTAGTGGCAGTGCATATTTAGGGGACTGTCAGTCAGCTCTATACTTTCCACTGGCAACTGAACAGAATTCGAATAAGCATTCTATTCTATTACTACGATATTCCATGATTATGAGTAAAATGTTTAGCCATTGCAAATAAGCTTTTAAATGAGTAATTAATGATTGGAATGAGATACGGTACTGAACGTAGGTTGTGCCAGGTTTGGATTGTAGGGACAAGCTGCAGCAGCTCAATACTTGGGGAGTGAGTTTGCATGGATGGTTTTGTAGTTGCAAGCAGAATACCAGGGAAATTTGTGGCTAGTAGCACATGGCCTTAGTCAGTATATTTGCCATATCACAAGTGTTATACACGGTGTGTGGGAGGAGTGTTGCCTAGAAGAGGTGGAAAATGTTGCAAATTTATTCATGAACTCTCCACGCGTCCTAGCATAATGTAAACGTCGGCTACTACGCTAGTGAGCAAGCATAGGTACGAATCATTTTATGAGTCCAAATTGTAGTGCTCTGCCAGAAATAGCATACGTGGTGCTGTACACATTTTTTAAGAAAGCTGAACGTTAGCTTTTATTTCTCCGAGACTTCACCGCGGTGTAGTACTTGGAATCCAATTCGTCCCTACCCCAAGCATCCACAACATCGGTTTTCCTTCCGCCGCTCCCTCCCTCTCTGCACTCGTTCCGGACTTCGCCCTTGGTGCAAAGCTTCTCTGCTTGCGGAGCGGAGTCGTGCGCGCCGTTCTTGTTCCTTCCCCAGGACACAAGCCCCGCGAAACCAAACCCCGGCGCGCAGCAGCAGCACGCTGCATTCTCTCTCTGCAGGTTCGGTACTTGGCCGCTGTGACGCCAACCGCCCACGCCACGCCAACCACCCCGAGCAACCCGATTGACCCCCCTGCTCTCGTCACCCTTGGGATTGCCGCCACGCTGGTGGTGTCCTTAGGAATTTTGCACAAGTGCGAACAACGCGATCACAGCGGTTGAGTCTGTTCCATTACTAGTACAGTGCGGTTTCTCGCGCTATAGAGGATAACAGTACGATAACTCTAAGCTAATCCCCTCCAGACTTGTCGCTCTCGCTTGTCTCCCGTTCTTCCAGCTCCTCCTCTCTGCACTTGTGTCTTGCTGCCTTCTGCTCCTCCTAACCCCTGGCTACTCTCTGGGGACTTAGCGTCAGGATTTGCAACTGAGCTAGAGGCTCAGCAGGCAAGTCTCAGGACTTAGCGTCTGAGAGCAGAACCAATAGGCAGAGGTCCAGCCTACGCACCTGGCCGACTTCCCTGGGAGTTATTTCTCCCGTTTGCGACATCCGCAGGCAGTTCGGCGTGTTATTTGCTGTTATTTCTCGCCCAATTAAGGGTTCGGCCTGGAGCTCCGTCGCTGATCGTCTGCCCGTCAGCCATTGTGCACCACGCCTCGAACGCGGACGGTTCAAAACTATCCCGTTGACGGTAAGGGAGGCGCGGTAATTCAATTCCGTGAGTTTCTGCGAGACTTTCGCAGTGAATCATAAGGTTCATCCACGATGTGTCCAATGAGCGTTCAAACAAGTTATTAAATTCAACTGAATGAATGTTGCCTTAGTTGCTTGGCCTTTCCACTCGACTGCTGAATCTCGTTTCGCTGCGAAGTCTCTTCACTCTTGAATTCCGTTCCCTACTTACGCGTGCATGTTTGTTCTTGCATTCTGGCTCATGTTGGTTTCCAGCTTACGCGTATTCCATTCTGTCGCGACGCGTTACTTCGAAATTCACATTTGAAAAGGAACTGATTCGAAATGAATCAAGTTCCGTGCTCCTGTTCCGCCGGCCGTTATTCTCTGTTACCGTAATCGAGCCCGATCCTGACTGACGCGCGTGTCTGGCTGACGCGAGTTGGCTCGTCAAGGTTCCTTCCCGGCGTCTTTCCGTTTCGCTCCTGAACTCACCGCGATTTCCCAAATAATGGCTCTCCTATTCCTTTCCCAAGTGGGCTCGTGTCTATGCACGTGTGCTTAAGTCACAGCATCGTGGTAACACCATGCGCGGAAATGACTCGTTCTGTCTCTGCCCCCTTGTCCTTCCCCATGTTTCTCCGCTCTCATCGTGTTTCTGTCACAGATTCTGAGTCCAAGCGAACTGAACTCAAGATAGCGTCGTCTGGAAGTGTCTTTTGAAGCCGCCGCCTCGCGCCATGGATTCAGACGAGGATGCGCCTTTCACGGCCAGACGCGCCAAGCCCGCTGCTGCGCCCGCCGCCCGTCCCGCTGCCCCGCTCCGCCCGCACTCGTCTCCCGCCGATCGTCCGCGTCCTTCGCCTGGCAGCGGGAGGGGCGGCGGAAGAACCGGTGCGAATAGCGGCGTCCGCTTGCCAATGAAGAGCGAGCCGCGCCACGCGTCCGATGACGACGACGACGTGCCGCTGGGAAAGCTAGCGGCCGGAGCGGGATCGGCGCCTCGGCCGGGGGATAAACGGCCAGCGGAGCGGTATCCGGGGAACGGGGGAGCGCGGGACGGCAGCGGCGGGGGTCGCGACGGACCGAGCCCCGCGGAAAAGCGGGCGAAGGCTGAACCTGTGACTGTAAAGCGGGAAACCGATCCGCGCGGTTCTAGGGACGGGGGAAACGCGGGGAACGGGTCCGGCGGGGCGGGGAGGGTGAAACCCGAACGGGCAGATGAGGACGACGAGAAGCCGATTAGGAGCTTGCGTCCGGGCAGCGGGCAGGGTAGCGGGCAGGGTAGCGGGCAGGGCAGCAGACAGGGCAGCGGGCAGGGCAGCGGGCCGGGCAGGGGGGTGAAGAAAGAGGAGAAGGCGGAGAGCGAAGAGGAGGACGAGGAGGGGAGTGAGGAGGAGGGGAGCGAGGAGGAGGGGAGTGATGAAGAGGGGAGCGAGGAGGAGGGGAGCGAGGAGGAGAGCGAGTCTGAAAGCGATGAGGACGTGCCTCTAGCCAAGCGAGCCGGGGCGGGTGGGGCCGCTGGTGGTGCTGCCGGTGCAAAGCCGGGTGCCAGAGCGCCGGCCAAGACACCGACAAAGCCAGCAGGGAAGGGCGCGGCAAAAGGCAGTGCGGCTGGAGGGGCGAAGAAGGGGAAGAAGGAGGACAACTCGGTGAAGTGGAAGACGCTTTCCCATAATGGCGTGATCTTCCCGCCGCCCTACACGCCCCACGGCGTGAAGATGCTGTACAATGGCAAGCCCGTCGACCTCACTCCCGCCCAGGAAGAGGTGAGCCCTACGTTGCCCAACCCGCCCCGCCCCGCCCCGCCCCGCCCCGCCCCGCCCCGCCCCGCCCCGCCCCGCCCCGCCCCGCCCCGCCCTGCCCTGGCCTGGCCTGCCTGAAGGACTTTTGGAACGACTGGCGCAAGGTGCTGGGCACAAGGCACGTGATTCAGAATCGGATATGCCATCCCGTGCCACCTTCCCCCCCTTGCCATTCCATCTCCCAGGTAGCCACCATGTTTGCAGTGATGCGGGAGACAGAGTACGCGACGAAGCCGGTGTTCCTGAAGAACTTTTGGAACGACTGGCGCAAGATATTGGGGCCTAGGCACGTGATTCAGAAGCTGGAGCTGTGCGACTTCACACCCATCTGGGACTGGCACCTGGCGGAGAAGGAGAAGAAGAAACAGATGACGTCAGAGGTGAGCGGTACAGAGGGTTTTGAGGGAGATCCAGGTCAGTGTAGGGGTGAGAATCAGTGAGGTGTGTGTGAGAGTAACCTTTGAGGGGCCAAGCACGTGATTCAGAAGCTGGAGCTGTGCGACTTCACGCCCATCTGGGACTGGCACCTGGCGGAGAAGGAGAAGAAGAAGCAGATGACCAGTGAGGTGAGCGGTTCAGAGGGTTTTGAGGAGAGTCAGATGGGTGTAGGGGTGAGAGGCGTATGGGTGTGAAGGTGACCCGTGGGGGAGAGAGTGGCACGTGATTCAGAAGCTGGAGTTGTGCGACTTCTCGCCCATCTGGGAGTGGCACCTGGCTGAGAAGGAGAAGAAGAAGCAGATGACGGGGTTGGTGGGAAGGTGAGTGTGAGAAGGAAGGGGTTGAGTTGAGGGTAGGAATGAGGATGGTGGTTGACGGGGGGGTGGTTGGGAGAGGAGGTGGGAGGCGACAGACAGACAAATAACCTTTGATAGGCACATGCGTTTTTTACTCTGTGTTTTCTTGCGAGCGATTTCCCATTTTTTAACTCCCCTTCAGTAGCCTACTCGCTGACAGCACTCTCGTCGTTTCGTCCCTTGTGTGTCTCCAGGAGAAAAAGGCCCTGAAGGAGGAGAAGCTTAAGGCAGAGGAGAAGTACATGCATGCAGTGATCGATGGGCTGAAGGAGAAGGTGAGAAGTACATGCATGCAGTGATCGATGGGCTGAAGGAGAAGGTGAGAAGTACAAGCATGCAGTGATCGATGGGCTGAAGGAGAAGGTGAGAAGTACATGCATGCAGTGATCTATGGGCTGAAGGAGAAGGTGAGCAGTACATGCATGCAGTGATCGATGGGCTGAAGGAGAAGGTGAGCAGTACATGCATGCAGTGATCGATGGGCTGAAGGAGAAGGTGAGAAGTACATGCATGCAGTGATCGATGGGCTGAAGGAGAAGGTGAGAAGTACATGCATGCAGTGATCGATGGGTTGAAGGAGAAGGTGAGAAGTACATGCATGCAGTGATCGATAGGTTGAAGGAGAAGGTGAGCAGTACATGCATGCAGTGATCGATGGGCTGAAGGAGAAGGTGAGAAGTACATGCATGCAGTGATCGATGGGCTGAAGGAGAAGGTGAGAAGTACATGCATGCAGTGATCGATGGGTTGAAGGAGAAGGTGAGCAGTACATGCATGCAGTGATCGACGGGCTGAAGGAGAAGGTGAGCACTGCATGTTCTGGCATGTTCTGCCATGTTCTGTCATGTTCTGTTCTGTCATGTCATGCCATGTCATGTCATGCTGTGTTGGTCGTGTCATGCCATGTCATGTCATGCTGTGTTGGTCATGTAATGCAATGTCATGTCATGCTGTGTTGGTCATGTCATGCCATGTCATGTCATGCTGTGTTGGTCATGTCGTGCCGTGCCATGGCCCATCATCTCCTGTCATATGTTGCAGCATGCGAGTGAATGTCTCCTGGATCTTTATTCATCTTCCAGCTCATTCCGTCTCGCCTCTCCTTCTCGTCCACGTGTCAATCCTTGTTCCCCGCCCCTCTCCGCCTGTTCAGGTCGGCAATTTCCGGGTGGAACCTCCAGGGCTGTTCAGAGGGCGGGGCGAGCATCCTAAGGTGGGTGGTGGGGAGGGGCTTCGGGGGAAGGGGCAGGGTAAGGAGAGGGGGGGGGGGGGGGGGGGGAGGGGAAAGGGAGGAATAAGGGGGAGGGGAAGAAGTGGTTGGGAGGGAGAGAAGTCTTAATATGGATGCAGCGAGTTTCCCACCATCAACGTGCGAGCGCATCACACTGAGCACATGGGCGCATGGGTAGATGGGAAAGTGGGAGAAGGGAATATTGGCTCGAGACACTGAAGGTGCTGTCCTCCCCACATCAATCGCTTCCCTCTCATTGCACACAATGGGTCCCTGTCAAGCACGGCGATCACCATGGCTCATTTCCTATTTCATGCGCCCCTGGGCCCTGTCCCCCTCTCGCTCGCCTCCACCCCATTCGCTCTTCCCCTCATTGCAATGGTGCAGATGGGCAAGCTGAAGCGCCGGATAATGCCCGAGCCGAGGACATTGTGATCAACAGTCTCTGTGCCTTCCCCCCTGTGTCCCCTCTCGCTCGCCTCTGTGTCCCCACTTACCCTGCACACCTGGTGCAGATGGGCAAGCTAAAGCGGCGGATAATGCCAGAAGACATTGTGATCAACATTGGAAAGGAGGCACCCGTGCCTGAATGCCCCATACCCGGCCACAGGTGAGTCTTCTGGCTGCCACGTGTCCCACAGGTGGGTGTCCTGGTTGCACATCTCCCACGGGTGGGTCTCCTGGTCCCCACGTGTCCCACATGTGGGTCTCCTGGTCCCCACGTGTCCCACATGTGGGTCTCCTGGTCCCCACGTGTCCCACATGTGGGTCTCCTGGTCCCCACGTGTCCCACATGTGGGTCTCCTGGTCCCCACGTGTCCCACATGTGGGTCTCCTGGTCCCCACGTGTCCCACATGTGGGTCTCCTGGTCCCCTCGTGTCCCACATGTGGGTCTCCTGGTCCCCTCGTGTCCCACATGTGGGTCTCCTGGTCCCCACGTGTCCCACAGGTGAATGATATTGCTGGAGTGATTGAATGCGGGATGGTTGAATGCGGAATGCATTTTGGATTGTGTTTCAGTGTGCCATCTTTTCATTGTCACCCACACGCGCTGAGTGGAAGGAGGTGTGGCACGATAGCACAGTGACGTGGCTGGCGTACTGGTTTGACCCGATCAACCAGAAGGACTTCAAATACGTCTTTCTCGCTCCCACCCACCACCCACCCACCCACACATGCACCTGGCAGGTGGAAGGAGGTGCGGCACGACAACACGGTGACGTGGCTGGCGTACTGGTTTGACCCGATCAACCAGAAGGACTTCAAATACGTCTTCCTCGCTCCCAGCAGCCGCCTCAAGGGGCTGTCGGACAAGGAGAAATATGAGAAGGCACGGAAGCTCAAGGTGAGCGCTTTTGGGTTTGTGTGTGAAAGCTCAAGGTGGGTCAAGAGGGGGCAAAGAAGCTGAAGGCGTGCCCTTGGGTTCTTTTTTTAGTTGAGATTCAGAGCCGCTCTCCAGTAGCCGCCTCAAGGGGCTCTCGGACCAGGAGAAATATGAGAAGACGCGGAAGCTCAAGGTGAGAGAGGGGCAGAAAGAGGGCGCGCAAGCTGAAAGAGTGCTCTTGGGTTCTTGCATGACAGCTGAAGGTGACTCAAGAGGGGGCATGGAAGCTGTTGGTGAGTGCCCTTGGGTTGTTACTTGATTCTTGGATCGGAGCTGCCCTCCAGCAGCCGTCTCGAAGGGCTGTCGGACAAGGAGAAATACGAGAAGGTGCGGAAACTCAAAGTGAGTGCAAGCTAAGGACGACGAGAGCGGTACCTTAGATCCAGAAAGCGGTTTTCTTAGGACCCAGGGCCGCTCTGTCACATCCACGTGAAGGGGCTTTCAGACAAGGAGAAGGTACGAGAAGGGGCTTTCCAAGACCCGTGCCACGTACACCAAGCACTCCACATCCAAGGATGAGCCTGGATAACCTCACGATGCTGACTTTTGAGTCGACTCAAAAGACCCGCGCCACACACTCAAAGCACTCCACATCCATCCGAGGACGGGCCTGAATAACCTCTCGATGCTCGTCGTGCTCAACTCCCTGTCTCCCACATCTCCCTTACCCTCCCTCACTGCCCCCTGCTCCCGCTCTCAGGACCACATAGGCAAGATCCGTGCCACCTACACGAAGCACTTCACATCCAAGGACGACCAGATTCGACAGGTGGCCGTTGCCACATACCTCATCGACCGGCTGGCACTGAGAGCAGGGAATGAGAAGGTAGGGTGGGGGCATGGGGCTTGGGCTATGAAGCATGGGGCATGAGAAGAGGGGGGTGCAGGAGGTAGGTAGGGCGGAGGGGGGCATGGTCACGCCACTTCACACCCAAGGACGGCCAGATTCGACAGGTGGCTGTTGCCACGTACCTCGTCGACCGGCTCGCACTCAGAGCAGGGAATGAGAAGGTGGGGGCAGAGGGCATGGGAAGATGGGGTCATAGAAGGGTATGGGGCAGGGGGGCATGGGGCACGCCCAGGCTTCACCTCCAAGGACGACCAGATTCGGCAGGTGGCTGTCGCCACGTACCTCATCGTCCGCCTGGCGCTGAGAGCAGGCAACAAGAAGGCGGAGGCATGGAGCAAGGGGCACGAGAAGGTGGGGGCGAGGGGTAATAGGGGGTGGCGGGATGGGGGGTTGGTGAGGGGGGGGTGGGGGAGCATGGGACACACGTGTACACTCATGTCCAACAATGGCCAGATAGTGCGTGGGTTGAGAGCATGCAACGGGAGCACGAGGAGATGCAGAAGATTCTGGAGGAGGAGGAGAGGCAGCACGAGAAGATGCAAGTGCATCCAGCACGCCGCAGCACTGGAGCAGGTGTGAGTGGAGGAGGTGTGGATGTATGCAACGGTCGTGCAGTTTCTGGAGTTGAGGAAACGCCACGAGGCCCACATTGCTCATCGCGTCTCCAAGGTCGCTGATCTCAAGGCCAGTGCAGTGGCCACTTGTCACCACCACACCATGCATGGTGGAGGCATGGTGTGGTGGTGACAGGTAACCACTGCACTGGCCTCGAGATCCGCGACCTTGGAGATTGGCTGAGCGATGTGGGCGTCGTGGCGCTTCGTCAATTCCGGGAATGGGGAAGAGTGCATAAGACATGGGGCAGAGAGTCAAGACATGTGCATAAGACAAGTCTTTTCTTTGATGATAGGCTGGACAGTAGGCTTCCATTGTCATGACTAGCTGATATTGCGAGCACACAAGACTCCCTTTCCCCTGCTGACTAGGCGGATGCACGTTGGGCTGATGCTCATTCTAAGACACGTACTTCCCTCGCCCCCCAACCCCTCTTCGCCCTCCTTGCATTCACCCCCTCCCCTTGCCACACGTTGCCAGAATAACGACGAGGTGGACACGTGGCATGCTGCTGCTCATCTCAAAGGAATGAACTCCCCGCTCCCCCTCCCCCTCCACATCGCCCCTCATCCTCTCTTTGCGCCCCTCTTCCTTACCCACTCCCATCTGCACAAGACAACGACGAGGCGGACACGGTGGTTGCTGCTCGCTCAAAGGGAGCCCCTTTTTCCCTCCTACGCTCCTCATCGCTCCTCATCCCCCTGTCTTCGCCGCCTCGCCCCCCTCTCCCTACCATCTCCACAGGACGACGAAGAGGCGGACATGGTGGGTTGCTTCTCACAGGCGCTCTCCCCTTTCCCCTCTTCACACCTCCCCTCCTCTCCTCCCCTTGTTCTCCCCTTCTCTCGTCCTTGTTGCGCACAGGACGATGACGAGGCGGACACGGTGGGTTGCTGCTCGCTCAAAGTGGAGCACGTCACGCTCGTGCCGCCCTCCTCGTTGCAGGTATGAGCATATAGCTAAAACTTCTGGGGCGTCCCAAAGTATGAGCATGTTTCAAGATATGTGCATATCACTACAAGTTTTGAGACGTCTCAAAATATGATCTTATGACTAGTTGTTGTGAGTCGTCTCAAGTTATGAACACATGAGTAAAAGTTTTGAGACCTCTAAAAATATGAGCATATAGTTAAAGGTTTTAAGACGCCTAAGAGCCTCTTCCCCTCTCCGCACTCACGTCTCCTCCTTACCCCTTCTCCAATCCAACCCCCCCAACTACAACCCAACCCACTCCCCACCACCACCCCGCACAGTTTGACTGTTTGGGTAAGCACTCAATCCTCTATTTCAACACAGTCGAAGTGGAGCCGCGGGTGCGATTGGGGGCTTCTCCCTCACCCGCCTTCCCCTCTCCCCCCTCTCCCCCACACACCCTGCACAGTTTGCCTTCCTGGGTAAGGACTCCATCCGCTATTTCAACACAGTCAAAGTGGAGCCGCTCGTGTACAAGGCGATAGGGGCTTCAGGAAGGGGAAGAAGAAGGACGAGGACTTGTTTCACCGACCGACTTTAGAGTGTGCAAGCAAGGGGCTTTTCTGCTCACCTCTTCCCCTCTCCACACCCCTCTCGCTCCCCTCACCTTCCCTCCCGCACAGTTTGACTTCTTGGGTAAGGACTCGATCCGCTATTTCAACACAGTCGAAGTGGAGCCGCTCGTGTACAAGGCGATAGGGACGTTCAGGAAGGGCAAGAAGAAGGACGAGGACCTGTTTGACAAGCTGGACACCACGAAGCTCAACTCGCACCTCAAGGAGATCATGCCCGGGCTCACTGCGAAAGTCTTCCGTACCTACAACGCGTCCATTACGCTTGACACACTGGTGAGTGCGTGAGTGTGGTGTGCATGCAGCATGCAGCAGACAGGCTCAACTCGCATCTCAAGGAGATCATGCCCGGGCTCACTGCTAAGGTCTTCCATACCTACAACGCGTCCATCACACTTGACACGTTGGTGAGTGGGTGGGTGGGTGTGGCAGGCAGGCAGAGAGACACGCAGCAGGCAGGCAGAAGGGTGCGCAGCAGGGTATCTGTAGTGGCAGAGGGCGAGAAGAAGGACGAGGACCTGTTTGACAAGCTCGACACCACGAGGCTCAACTCGCACCTCAAGGAGATCATGCCCGGGCTCACTGCTAAGGTCTTCCGTACCTACAACGCGTCGATTACTCTCGACACACTGGTGAGTGTGTATGTATGGCTTGCTCCGCTGGTGAGTGTGTATGTAGGGCTTGCTCCGCTGGTGAGTGTGTATGTATGGCTTGCTACGCTGGTGAGTTGGTGTTTGAGCGGGTGGCAGGCAGGCAGCAGGGCGCACAGCAGGCCACCTCTGCCATCCCATCTGCGGCAGCATTCGGAGGGGCCGCCTCCGCCCTTTGTGCTCTGTGAAATGTTTTTATACTTCCTGCCTTGTCGTGTCGTGTATCCCGTCCTCTCCGCTCTCCCACTCTCTCTTGCCTGCCTTCCTCTCCCACCAGCTGCAAGACACGGTGGGAAGCGTAGTGGTGGAGAAGGTGGCGGACTACCAGCGCGCTAACAAGGAGGGCATGAGGCCGCTTGTCTTCCCTCCCCCTTCCCATATCCCTTCGCTCCCGTCTCTCCCCTTCTTATACCCTGTGTGCCCAGTTGCAAGACACAGTGGGCAGTCTGGTGGTGGAGAAGGTGGCGGACTACCAGCGCGCCAACAAGGAGCGGATGAGTTGACATGTGACCACCTCCCCTCCTCTTCCCTTCCCCACCCCCTTTACGCTCTACCCCTTTCCCCATTCCCCCAGCTGCAAGACACGGTAGGGAGTCTGGTGGTGGAGAAGGTGGCGGACTACCAGCGCGCCAACAAGGAGGTGGCAATTCTGTGCAATCATCAGCGCGCCGTGTCCAAGGCGCACTCGGCGCAGATGGAGAAGATGCAAGCCAAACTGAAGGAGCTGGAGGTGGGTGGGCTGGCCTCTGTGCGGGTGTGGCTGTGTGTGTGTGTGTGTGTGTGTGTGTGTGTGTGTGTGTGTGTGTGTGTGTGTGTGTGTGTGTGTGTGTGTGTGTGTGTGTGTGTGTGTGCGTGTGTTGCTTGTATCGCCTCCTGCAACCATCAGCCCGCCGTGTCCAAGGCACATGCAGCGCATGCAGTGCATCATGCAGCGCATGCAGTGCATCATGCAGCGCATGCAGTGCATCATGCAGCGCATGCAGTGCATCATGCAGCGCATGCAGTGCATCATGCAGCATGTGCCCGAGTGCCTCTGTGTTGCTGTCTGTGGTTGTCGCGACAACCAGCACGGACACACGCCTCGCCTCGCAAAGGTGAGGAGTCCATGTATGGCTGGCCTGTGTGTGAGTGTCTCTGTGTTCGTGTCTGTGGTTGTCGTGTCTTGTTCTAGACCAACTAGCGCGGATCGGTCAAGCACACAAGTGAGGAGGCAATTAGTGCTCTGAGATGAGATGAGATGTCCTGAACCTTCCACTCTCCACCTAACCCTCCTTCCTCCACCACCCCTCCCTTTCATCCCCGCCTGGCAGGAGGCGGCGGTGGAGGAGATGGAGGAGGACGTGGATCGAGCATGCAAGAGTGGATGCAAGGCCTGAGCCTCGCACCCTCCTCCTCTCTCCTTTCACACATCCCTTCGCTTCCATCCACTTTCTGGCATGAGGCGGTGGAGGAGATGGAGGAGGACGAGGATCGAGCACAAGAGGGACGGCCGCAACCGACTAGTGCTCTCAACTTGCTGCTCTTCCCCTCCCCTCTTTTTCCCCTTCCCACTGCATCTCCTCCCCATCTTCATCTGGCAGGACGCCGTTGAGGAGATGGAGGAGGATTTGGATCGAGCACAGAAGGGGAAGCCGCCTGTGAAGAGAGAAGGCGAGGGCGCCAGGAAGGTCAACCCTGAAGTGTGAGTGCCAGCTGTGTTGCTGTGATGCTCTGTGTGTGTATGGGAGGGCGAGGGCGCCAGGAAGGTCAACCCTGAAGCGTGAGTGCCAGCTGTGTTGCTGTGATGCTCTGTGTGTGTAAGGGAGGGCGAGGGCGCCAGGAAGGTCAACCCTGAAGCGTGAGTGCCAGCTGTGTTGCGGTGTGATGTGTGCTGCGCGATTGGTGAGGTGCATGTGTGTGAGTGTGATGGTGCTGGTTCTATGTTGCATTCACATGCACACGCACACACACACACACATCCACATGCACATGCCCCCACGCACATTCACATGCACATGCATGCACACGCCCACACGCACACGCACACATACATGCACATGCATATGCTCCCTACCTCCTCCTCTCCTCGCCCCCCCTCCCTTCCCTTGTCTTATCCAGACTCGAGAAGAAGCTGGCGCAGTCAAAAGCACGGCTGGAAAAAATGAAGCTGGACATGAGATGAGCATAAAGGACGAGACGACCTCTCCCTCTCATCGTGTCTTCACCCAGACTTGAAAAGAAGCTGGCACAGTCAAAAGCACGGCTGTTAAAGATGAGGTTGAACATGAGCATCAAGGACGAGACGAGCTCAAGATAATATCAAAGGGCGCCTCTCCCTCCTTCTCCCTCCCTCTCCCTCCTTCTCCCTCCCTCTCCCTCCTTCTCCCTCCCTCTCCCTCCCTTTCCCTCGCCCTCCCCCTCCCTCTCATCTTGTCTTTATCCAGACTCGAGAAGAAGCTGGCACAATCCAAGGCACGGCTGGAGAAGATGAAGCTGGACATGAGCATAAAGGACGAGCTCAAGACGGTGGCGCTGGGCACCTCTCCTTCTGCACCGCACTCAACCTCTTGCTCTCCGCTCTTCCGCCCCGCTCCCCCTTTCCTCGTCTGCGCACAGACTCGAGAAGAAGCTGGCACAATCCAAGGCACGGCTGGAGAAGATGAAGTTAGACATGAGCATAAAGGACGAGCTCAAGACGGTGGCGCTGGGCACATCGAAGATCAACTACATGGACCCGCGCATCACCATCGCCTGGTGCAAGCGCCACGAGGTGCCTATAGAGAAGGTGCGTGTGCTCTTAAAGAAGTCACTGCCCGCCAAGTTGGGATGGGCCATGGATGTCTCTCCTCTCCCGACTCGCTCTTCTACCAACACACTCTTCCCTTCTCCTTGCCCCCCTGCCCCTGCGTGCCGCCCCTCTACTGTCACCCATCCACGCAGATCTTCAACAAGTCGCTGCTTGCCAAGTTCGGATGGGCCATGGATGTCTCTCCACATTACCGCCGCTACACCACACACACACGCCACGCCTCTTCCCTTCTTCCTCCCTTCTTCCACCCTCCCCTGTCCCCTCTCAACGCCAGATCTTCAACAAGTCGTTGCTTGCCAAGTTTGGATGGGCCATGGATGTCTCTCCTCTCCGGACTTCCGCGTCTAGCAACACACTCTTCCCTTTTCCTTGCCCCCCTTCCCCTGCGTGCCTGCCGCCCCTCTATTGTCACCCATCCACGCAGATCTTCAACAAGTCGCTGCTTGCCAAGTTCGGATGGGCCATGGATGTCTCTCCGGATTTCCGATTCTAACAACACACTCTTGGCCCATGCTACCGCCTTGGCCCTTGCTCCAGCCTTACCACTTTGGTCCGACTCATCAATACACCCCACTCCCTAGTGAAGAGGAATCACATCACAGCCGTCCATGAGCAAGCCCACAGCTATCAACGCGCTGCGATTACAACGCCTCTGGGCAGCTTGTGGCGAAATTTTCCTTTTGTCGGGTGTGGCAGTGGATGCTGCAGTGTGTACCCACCATGCAATGGTTTTGTCCTCTTAAAGCCCTTGCTATATGTTGTTAGAGATGTGGTTTACATGTGGAAATTGAGAGTGTGTTGTATGTAATATTTGTGATTGCAGCTTTACAGAACTGCTCTTAAGTTTAAAGAGGTATCGTGATCTGCTGTAAGATGGATGTGTTATTTTGTTCTGTCCTGGAAGGTACCGGACAGCACCTAGCAAAACTGCCCACTCCATTCTGTGCTGTAATTAAATTCCGTGAATCGAATCAATTGGGCGTCTTTCACACGACGAAGAGTGGATCACGGTAAGAAGTATGGTGGTGAGTAGCGGTTCCGAACCGCTCTAGAGAGTGCACACACCATAAGCTGACGGGGCGTCGCCCAAAGGGGGTCTCTGAGACTTCTTCCTCGGGAACGTGCAAACATCGATCGAAATGCGGAGTGAGAGCGCGTGTGTGCTGATTTGAAAGAAATCTGTGAAAGGCAAGTGCTTTGGAAGGCAGGCTCAAAAAAGGTGTATAACAGTACGCGCGAATACATGGAGAACAATTGCTACCTGGTGCCTACGTCAGAAAGTAGTCTCTAATCTATCAACTCAAAAGACTGGCGCCACTAGTAACACTGAGCTTCAAACGGCCGCAATGCTTGTCGGCGTCGCTAGGTGTGTTCAGTCTGCCACGCTTCTGCGGTCGCACTACGGCTTGAAGGCCTTAGACGCCTCCTCCGCGGTGGCCTTAGCGGACGCCAGGGTTGAGAGCACCTTCTTGTCATTAACGGGGTCGAGCATAACGGAGACGCCGTCGATGGTGGAAACGGCGTTGGCGATCTGGCCCTGCACGAGCGTGCGCTGCCCCTCGTCGATCAGAATGCCCGCGTTCGTCAGCGCCTGCACCGTCGCCGTCAGGCTCGCGTAGTACTTGTGCTTCGTGCCCAGCGTGTCCGCCGCCTTCTGCACGCCGCCGGCGGCCGTCTTGAGCAGTCCCTGAATCTTCTGATCCGCCTTGCTCACCACCACGGGCGCGGACCCGCCAGTGCCAGCGCCCGAGTTTGCGCCCTTCTTTCCGCCCTTCTTTCCGTTCGTAGCAGGCGCGGGCACGGGATCAGGGGTGGGGGTCGCAGGGGCGGTCCAGTTCTTGTGTCCGCCCTTCTTCTTGGGGGTGGTTGGCAAGGGAGTGGCGGGAGTGTCGCTGCTTCCGCCCTTCTTCCCCTTCTTCCCGGTGGTGGTAGGCGGAGGGGAGGGGGAAGGGTCGCTGCTTCCGCCCTTCTTCCCCTTCTTCCCGGTGGTGGTAGGCGGGGGAGACGCGGGAACGTCCGAGCCCTTACCCTTCTTCCCGGACTTGGTAGGAGGAGCGGGCGAATCGGTAGGCGTCTTGGACTTCTTGGAGGACTTAGAAGGAGTGGTCTCTTCCGCGGACTTTCCGCCCTTCTTCGCGGGAGACGGAGTCGGGTCTGACGAAGACGAGTCGCTCTTCTTCGACTTCTTGCTGCTAGAGTCGGAGGAGCTTGTATCGGAGGTGCTCTCATCGGAGCTCTTGGACTTGAGCACGCGGCCACGGCTGATGTCCGAGGGAAATTCGCTTCCGGACAAGGCGTCGCCACCTGGGAAGAAGCAACGGATAGAACGAATGGATTAGTGAAATGTGGATGACCGGCGAAATGGCTGCGAAGTGCACCAGTTACTTCTCGTTGAGAGAATTCCAACATGGGGATAAAGATAAGAAAATGCGTGAAAGCAATACCTTCAGATGCAATCGCAGCACTCTGCACATGCCATGGGGCTGCCACGAGCAGCACTGCGATCAACGCGCACACTGCCACGACGGGCGCGACGAGCTTGGCGGACGCCATTCTCCCGCAAGTCAGTTGCAAATCTTAAATTGAACTCAGTCACTCGAGTGAATTCGCGGGTCGGGCGAGCAGTGGTCGATAGGCGAGGAGTGATGGAGCGGAAATTGACTGATGATAAGCAAAGGAAAAGGCCCGAACTTATAGCCTCGACGTTTCAGCATGTGTGATGTGAAGTGCAGCATCGAGACAGCAATGCAAGGAATCGTGGGAGAGAGGTAGGGGGGGCGTCGGAGGGGGCGGCCGGGGCGGCCAAAGTGAATTTTTGAAAGGCGGCGCGCCTGGTTATGCACCGAGGCGCACTCAGGGGTGGAAATGCGCCAAGGATCAAGTACGTGGAGCGAAACTCGAGGCCCTTGTGTGAGATTGGCTGAGAATGAGATGTCAGCCACGACGTGCACCGAAGGATAAAAAGTGAAGCATGAGCTCGCTCATTGGGCGGTGCCATTGCCTTTTTGGCGCATTGTAGCTTGAGGGTTATATCCCGCTGTGGGTGTTCTGGCTTGTCAAAGAGATGGAGCTGAAGTAACGAATATAATTAAATTCAGTTCCTTTATGTTTTGTGTATATTTTAGCACAAAACTGTTTATATTTCCACTTAATCTATACTCATGCCTTAACTCACATTGTACCATAAAAGCAACATACATCTATATTTAACGTCTCAAAATTGATCTTATAACCTTTCGATGCTTAACTATGGATAAGTCAGTCAGTCGTCATCGTTAAGATGCGCACGAGAGCTTTTGGGCATGACAGGGCAATAATATGATTGGAAAATGTTTCAGTAGATATTTTCTACGAACTGTCGCATGTCAAGTTGTGCCAAGAAGATGACATGAAAACGAAACGGGTCAAAAAATGGATTCTTGTTGTGCATAAGCAATTAAATATCCCATGGGTGCTTCCCACTTGTACGTTTAGTGCACAGTGAAGCGTAAGAACCGCGTCACACCTTGTGGAACCGTCTTTGAGACACGAACATCGAAGTGTATACATATGCGTTGGAGCTCGCCTTCTGTTGAGAACGTTGTCCTCCAGCACAAGGCCAGCTCCAACGTATCGCGAATGCGGTCAGGTTATGCCGTTTGAGTGGAACCGTTCAGGGAGTGAATTTGCCATTTTGCGCCAAAAAAAAGGAAAAGCCACCAGCCAATGAGCGAGCTCAACCTTTCCTTTTCACCCTTCGGTGAACATCGTGGCTGACCGCTCAGCAACTCTCAATTCAAAACCCAATTCCCCGGGTTTCGCTCCACGTACTTGACCCAAAACGCATTTCCATCTCTGACCGCGTCTCGGCTTGGTGTGCTGCACGCATAACCCAACGTGCCGCATTTCGAAAATCCGTCTTGGCCGCCCTGGCTGCTCTGGCGGATGGTCTTTCTGTCTTCCACGTTTCCCTTCATTGTGATGTTCATGGCGTAAAGCGGCGGGTATAAGTTTAGGCTTCCTTCTTTGCTTATCAATCAGTACCCCACTCCATCACTCCTCGCCTATCAACCATTGCTCGTCCGACCAGCGAATTCACTCAGTAGACTGAGCTCAGTTCCAGATTCGGATCTGGTTTCTGGGAGAATGGCTTCCGCCAAGTTTCTCCTGCCCATTGTGGCAGTGTGTGCGCTAATCGGAGTGCTGTTTGTGGTAGTCCCGTCGCATGCGGGAAGCGCTTTGATTGCCTCTGAAGGTACGCAATCTCTTCAGTCGATGCATGCACTCTCTCTCTCTTCTGCACTCTCTCTCACGCACTCTAGTGCGTCTTTCGGGATTTTGTCAGCGACGTGTAACGGCTGCATTTTGCAACCATTTCGCCGGTCATCCACATTTCGCTTATCAAATTGTTCGATCCATTTCTTCCTTTCAGGCGACACTTTGTCCGGAAACGAATTCCCCTCGGACATCAGCCGTGGCCGCGGGCTCAAGTCCAAGAGCTCCGATGAAAGCACCTCCGATACAAGCTCCTCCGACTCTAGCAGCAAGAAGTCGAAGAAGGGCGGCAAGACCGCGGAAGAGACCACTCCCACTAAATCTCCCAAGAAGTCCAAGACGCCTACCGACTCCCCCGCGCCTCCTGCCAAGTCGGGGAAGAAGGGTAAGGGCTCCGACGTTCCCGCCTCTCCCCCGCCTACCACCACCGGAAAGAGCGGGAAGAAGGGCGGAAACAAGGGCTCCGACACTTCCGCCAGTCCCCCGCCTACCACCACCGGAAAGACCGGAAAGAAGGGTGGAAACAAGGGCTCCGACGTTCCCGCCTCCCCCCCGCCTACCACCACCGGAAAGAAGGGGAACAAGGGCGGAAACAAGGGTACCGACACTCCCGCCACTCCCGCGCCAACCACCCCCAAGAAGAAGGGCGGGCACAAGAACTGGACCGCCCCTGCGACCCCCACCCCTGATCCCGTGCCCGCGCCTGCCACGAGCGGAAAGAAGGGCGGAAAGAAGGGCGCCAACTCAGGCGCTGGCACTGGCGGGTCCGCGCCCGTGGTGGTGAGCAAGGCGGACCAGAAGATCCAGGCGCAGCTCAAGACGGCCGCCGGCGGCGTGCAGAAGGCGGCGGACACGCTGGGCACGAAGCACAAGTACTACGCGAGCCTGACGGCGACGGTGCAGGCTCTGACGAACGCGGGCATTCTGATCGACGAGGGGCAGCGCACGCTCGTGCAGGGCCAGATCGCCAACGCCGTTTCCACCATCGACGGCGTCTCCGTTATGCTCGACCCCGTTAATGACAAGAAGGTTCTCTCAACCCTGGCGTCTGCTAAGGCCACCGCGGAGGAGGCGTCTAAGGCCTTCAAACCTTAGTGCGACCGCAGAATTGTGGTAGACTGAACACACCTAGCGACGACGACAAGCGAAGAGGGCGTTAGTTGTACCAGTGGCGCCAGTCTTATAGAGAAATGGCGACTTTCTGACGTATACATGTGTAGGGATCGTTCTTGATACTCGCGCTAAATTTGATTAGAAATAATACTTTCTCGTGAACATTGTTCATTGTTTCGGAACATCAGCCAACTTTCCGCACATTCTTTTCAGACAGCAGGTCAGCTCTCCGAGGATATCGTGGAAGTTAGTCTGCTTGTTCGCACACGCTCTCCCTCCACATCTCAAATCATGGCTGGACGCTGCCGAGAAACAGGTCACAGTGAGTCCATTCGGCTCGCTTCTCAGCTTTGATATCGACCCATGTGAGGTGTAAACGGACAACCTGTGACTTAGAAACGACGGCACGATTAGCGACATGTTACGAAGACCCTAACAATCAGCTTAGAGCAGAAAGGAACAACGTAAGGGTTCATGGTGATCACTACGGTTCTGGGAAAATCAGGTGCACAGCGTCGCGAATTTGATTGCAACATTATACTGTAAATCAAACGGACACATTCGATGCGCACATGTATTCCGCATCCAACAGTGTGGAGCTCTGCTGCCTGCCCTTCCAACAAACGACGTTCGAGATCGAAGAATTCACAAAGGTTTCGTGGTTACACCCTGATTTCGTCATAGTGTACATCAAGAAGCCAACCGAGATCACGAGCGGAACAACAGCAGTTGCAGACTTCGCTCAAGCGTCTTACACTTTCGGGAATCCAAATTGGTAATTGTGCGAAATCCGCGAACTCCTAACAGTAACTGACACCGCCAAATGAGAGCTCACACTTTCCAATCCTTTGGTGCACAGCATATCGTGGCTGACCGCTCAGCCAATATCACTTGAAATTCCAAATCCCCGGGTTTTGCTCCACGTCCTCCATCCGAGACGCATTTCCATATCTGACCGCGCGTCGGTGGTGTGGGCTTTCACACATAACCCAACGCGCCGCATTTCAGAAATTCGTCCCAGCCGTCCAGACCGTTCCGGCAGATGGTCCTTTTGCTCCCCACGATACCCTCCTTTGCTGTTCTGATGCTGCACACAAACTGAAACGTCGAAGGTATAAGGTCTGGCCTTTTCATTGCTTATCATAAGTCAGTTTCTGTTCTATCACATCTCGCCTCTCGACCCCCAGAAAATTCACTCGATAGTCTGCCCTCAGTTCGAGAAATCTGACTCGCGGGAGAATGGCGTCCGCCAAGCTCGTCGCGCCCATGGTGGCAGTGTGCGCGTTGATAGCAGTGCTGCTCGTGGCAGCCCCATGGCATGCGGAGAGTGCTGCGATTGCCTCTGAAGGTACGAACTCTCTTGACGCATTTTCTTTCCTTTCTCCCCGTATGCGGAATTCTGTCAGCGACGTGAAACTGCTGCACTTCGCAACCATTTCGCCGGTCATCCACATTCCGCTAATCCAATCCTTCAATCTGTTGTTTTTCAGGTGGCGACGCTCTGACCGGAAACGAATTCCCCTCGGACATCAACCGAGGCCGCGTGCTCAAGCACAAGAGCTCCGACACAAGCAGCTCCGGCTCTACTAGCAGCTCCGGCTCTAGCAGCAAGAAGTCGAAGAAGAGCGACTCGACTTCGTCAGGCTCGTCCCCCTCCCCGTCTCCCGCGAAGAAGTCGAAGAAGGGCTCTAGCGCGCCGGCCGCTTCCCCCCCGCCTCTTACCAGGTCGGGGAAGAAGGGGAAGAAGGGCTCGAGCTCCGACGTTCCCGCCTCTCCCCCTCCGCCAACTACCACCGGTAAGAAGGGGAAGAAGGGCGGAAGCGGTTCCACTCCCGCCACTCCCCCGCCAACTACCACCGGAAAGAAGGGCGGACACAAGAACTGGACCGCCCCTGCCACCCCCACCCCTGATCCCGTGCCCGCGCCTGCCACGAGCGGAAAGAAGGGCGGAAAGAAGGGCGCCAACTCAGGCGCTGGCGCTGGTGGGTCCGCGCCCGTGGTGGTGAGCAAGGCGGATCAGAAGATTCAGGGACTGCTCAAGACGGCCGCCGCCGGCGTGCAGAAGGCGGCGGACACGCTGGGCACGAAGCACAAGTACTACGCGAGCCTGACGGCGACGGTGCAGGCGCTGACGAACGCGGGCATTCTGATCGACGAGGGGCAGCGCACGCTCGTGCAGGGCCAGATCGCCAACGCCGTTTCCACCATCGACGGCGTCTCCGTTATGCTCGACCCCGTTAATGACAAGAAGGTGCTCTCAACCCTGGCGTCTGCTAAGGCCACCGCGGAGGAGGCGTCCAAGGGCTTCAAGCCCTAGTGTGACACCGGAATCGTGGCAGTCTGAACACACCTAGCGACGTCAATAAGCGTGTGGGTAGCGGCCGTTCATAGAGGCGCCAGGCTTGAGTTGATGAGTAATATGAAGCGATTCCCCTGACGTAGAAGGCCCCGCATCGTAGCATGTGTTCGCGCTATATTTAAAGTAACCTTGTTACCTTATTTTCATATCAGCCCTTCTATATGGCAACGTCTTAAAATCGGCTTGCTTGTGCGCACGCACTCTCCCTCAGCATTTCGAATATGGCTGCACGTTACTGAAATAAGAGAGGTTGTCAGTTTATCCTCGTGGTCTGTGATACTTATCCTGGGGTCTTCTAAAGGACGGCCTGATCGATGAGCGGGACTGTCTCACGTTGACGCCGGATGTAATAATTGACGATCCTGTCCGTTGAGAGCAGATTCGGGAGAAGAGGAGGGCCGAGCGGAGAATACAGTTCAGTCCAGTCCACTACGTCGCCAAATTGGTGAGGAAGCACTTCATTCTTGGTACCTGTTATTACCGTATTCTCCCTTCCAGGCATAGAGTCCATAAAAAACTGCACTTCCTTGTTGATAAAGGCTAGATGCGCATGCACATTTGCCCAGTAGAAGAACAACCATGTGTACTATGCCTCAATAAGATGCATTTCATGATCTAGCTTTTGGAACACTACAACTTTCTGAGCCATATACAGATATGAGTTCTCCCACAGCACATGCAGTTACCAAACCAAATGATAGAAAAGCCCACAGCAGAGCATGGTGCACACAGCACATCAACCTAAACAACCACCCTGCACTCTCCCTGGGTCTATCACTGCTGCAAGGTCGATGGAATCTAGCTATTACCAATCTAAAGCACGCATCCTCACGCAGGCGTCTGTGCGGTAAGCCCCGCTGTCATGCGCCCACTCAGCATTCAGGGTGCATGGGTGGCAAGGCAACGGTTTGTGCATTGGGTGTGCTGGGTTAAGTGAGTGTTGTGAGCATGTGAACACGCGAGGTGCCCTGGTGAGCCATTTTAGGGGGTGTGTGGGTGGCAGCTGTTAGTGCTTGCTCGGCATGTTGTATGAAGGAAGGGGTGTGCAAGGCTGCTGCAGTGGCTAGCAGGAACGAGGCCAGGCAGGCAGACGGGTGGCAAGGGGTGAGGTGAGAGTTGAAAGGGAGGCAGGTGGTGAGGAAGAGGTTGTTAATACAGAGGGAGGTGGAGGTGGTGCAAGGCGAGATTAAAGGAGGAGAGGGGGGCTGTGAGCATGTGAGAGTGAGTCATGAGGCGAGGCGGGATGTGAGCATGTGCACTTGGGTCGCAAGCGAGCGATTCTCCTTGGGGCCGCTGCACACATGCGAGCGAGAACGGAGGGGGAAGAGAGGTTGGGGTACGAAAAGAAGTCGCACAGACACGAGGCTTGAGAATGATCACAGCGGACAGGGTGAATTTGGAGGACGTGCGTGCCTAGAGGAGAGGGCGAGTGGCTGAGGGGCGCAGCAGGCGTGCGCTTTGGGATGGCAGAGGAGACTAGCGTGGATGTGAAATGGAGGAGGGAATACCAGTGGTGGAAGGGGTGTGCATGAGATGTGCATTGGGTGCATGCATGGGTGGGGGTTACAAGGTCATGGCGGCATGGGGGCCTTGCGGTCGTGGGGACTCACGTGTGCAGCAGCGCTTGCAGGCTGGGGGCGAGGGCGTGGAAGGCCTCCGCACACTCCGCACAGCGCTGCAGCCTGCACACAGATGGGATGGGGCAGGGAAGGCAGGACGGAGGGTCAACCGAATGAGAAAAGGCGGGGACGAGATTGGGGGCGAGAGGGTTGGGGAATAAAGGAATATGGAAGGGAGGAATGGGTAAGGGAGGAATGGGGAAGGGAGGAATGGGGAAGAGAGGAATGGGAAGAGAGGAATTGGGAGGGGAGGAATGGGGAACAGATGAATGGGAAAGAAACGGGAATGGGAAAATTTAGGCAAGTCTAGTTGATTCCATCCCTGGCCCATGCAGCATGCTCTTGCAACCTCTCCCACCATCACCTCCCATCTCATCCCCCCTCAATCTCTCCCCCCCCCCCCCTTCCCCCTTTCACCACCTCACCCCCCGTCACCTCTCGCCACCCCTCCTTACCGCATTCTCATGTGCAGGTCCACGCCGGGCGAGTGGACGGCAGAGCGGGCGGCAGAGATAGTATCACTGTAGCAGCGCAGCAGTGCGCGCAGCAGCAAGAGGGCAGCGTGCACGCGGCTGGCGTGCGCACTGGTCAGCAAGCCGCCCAGAATCGGCACCAGGGCGGCACAGCCATCCACTCCCAGGCACTGCACAGCAGCGCCTGTCCCACATGGGCCGCCCATGCTGCTGGGCGCACCCGCCCCTCCGCCTCCTGCCATGCTGCTGCCGCCCTGTGCACTCATGGCTGAAACCACGTCTACCAGCACCTGTGGGGTTGAAGGGGGAGTGGTATGTGGTGTGGAGGGAGGGAGGGGAAGATGTCACAGAGTTGGGCAGTGTGTAGCATAATGGCTGAAACCACATTCACCAGAACCGCACCTCCCCCCACTCACCCCCTCCTCCCCACTCACCCTCTCCTCCCAGCCCACCTTCTCCCCCCACTCTCCACTCCCTCCCTCCCCCACTCACCCCTTCATCAGCAGTGACTGCCAGGAACGCAAGAGCATCGGCTACGAGCCCATCGCGCCACATCTCCCCCACCTGCCCGGCTAGGCACATGAACTCACCCTTGCATCCCCACTCACCCCTCCCCCCACTCACCCCTTCGTCCGCAGTGACTGCCCAGGAACGCGAGGGCATCAGCCACGAGCCCCTCGCGCCACATCTCCACCACATGCCGCACCGCCTGCCTGGCCAGGCACATGAACTCACCCGTGCATCCCCACCCACCCTCCCCCCACTAAACCCCTCCCCCCACTAAACCCCTCCCCCCACTCACCCCTTCATCCGCAGTGACTGCCAGGAACGCGAGGGCATCAGCAACAAGCCCGTCACTCCACATCTCCCCCACCTGCCGCACTGCCTGCCTGCGTGCCGCCAGCTGTCGCACCACCCCCTCATGGCCTTCCTTTACTGCCGCTACCATTGCTGCCTCATCCTCACTCGCCTGCCCCCCTCCCTGCTGCTGCTGCTGCTGCTGGGGGTGGTGGTGGTGTTGCAGCTGCTGGTGCTGCTGGGGGTGGTGGCGCTGCTGCTGCTGCTGCGCCTGCTGCAGCTGCTCCTGCCTCTCAGCCTCTCGCAGGAACGGAATGAGGTCCCCCGCCCCTCCTCCCACCTGCCTCTGTGCCACCCCAACACTTGCCCTCTCCTCCACACCCCCCATGCTCCCTGCCCCCACTCTCCCCACCACGCCACCACCACTACCACCACCTGCAGCAGCAGCTGTTGCTGCGCCATTGCCTGCATCACTACCGTCTCTGCTGAACCCAACCTGGGTGCTCGTTCCCGTCCCTCCACCCCTCCTCTCTGCTGCTCCAACTGCGCCCTCCTTCCCTTTCTCCTCCCCACGCCTCCTTTCCTCCTCCCCACTCACCCTTCTCCCCACCCCTCCGCTATCTGCTGCCTTCTTATTGGCTGAAACGCCCACATCAGCCAGTCCTCCGTGGCGGATCACAACAAGAGGCCCGCTTCCTGGAACCTTCTCGCTCTGGCTTCTCACCATCCCCGCCATCTCCCCCCCACCCCCCTGCTCCACCTCCTCCCCCTCCTCCACCTCCTCATCATCCACAGCATATGGCGGCCGCAGCCTCGGCACAAACAGGCCTAGCTTCCGAACCAGCGAGCTCTGGCTCGGCACGCTGCCGGACCTGCCCTCAGAGAGGGCCGGCACCGGAGACCCCTGCCTCTTCCCCCGAGCCTTGCTGGAGGTTCGGAAGCCCCAGCTGCCCACAGAGAGGGAAGCCGAGGCAGAGGAGCAGGTGGGGGGAGGGGAGCTGTCGGGCTGTGTGTCGGCTGCATAGGGTGCTCTGAGACTGGCGGCATATGGTGGGATGGATGGATGGTCGCCACTGGTAGTGTGGGTGCAGGCGTTGGCATCGGCATTGGCATTGGTGGTGGTGTTGGCCGGCGTGTTCTTGATGACTCTCCCAGCAGCAGCAGAAGCAGGAGCCACAGCAGTACCGCTACCAGGCCTGCTACCACTGCCCCTGGAAGCAGTAGCAGCAGAAGCAGCAGCAGCAGCAGCAGCAACAGCGTGAGTATTTCCATCCCCGTTATTGCCTCCTCCATTACCACCTGACCCAAAGGTCATTCTCCGAGCCGTTTGCCCCAGTCTGCCAAAGGAGCTGCTCCCGCCACCATTACCAGCACTACCAGTAGCACCACCACCAGCACCAGCACCAGCAGCAGCAGCAGCATCAGCGACCTCCTCCTCTACCTTGCCTCTCCCCCTCTCCCCCGCCTTCCCCTCACTCCCTCCCCTCTCCGCCTTCCTCCTCTCGCTCCCTCCGCTCCCCCCACCCCTCTTCTCGCCCGCGCCTGACTGCTCCTGCGAGGAGAGCGACCCAATCCAGTCAGACACGCGGGAGACGAGGTCCACTATGGGCGACCGCCCTGATACCGCGCCCTGCCCGCCCCTCCCCGCCGCTGCCTGTGTTGCTGCCGCTGGTGGGGTTGGTGTGGTTGCAGCAGCAGAGGCGGGAGCTGGAGCTGTAGCAGCAGCAGCGTTGGCCCGACCAGCAGCGGGAGAGGCAGGATGTGCAGCAGCGGATGGCACGCGTGCACCTGGTGTGACTGTAACGGGCGTGGCAGAAGACGAAGGAGCAGCGCGAGCAGAGGCAGCAGGGGCAGAGAAGTGGCCAGTGGGGTTGGAAGGGGAGGAGGAGGGAGGGGAGCGGCGAGGCGACGCCAGGGAGTGCACGTGTGAGCCACGTCGAGAGGTTGTATGCCCATGCGCAGCAGTTGCAGCAGCAGCAGCTGCGGTGGCGGTGGTGGTAGCACCATGCGATGCTGAGCCGCCACGTGACAGTCTATGACTCGTGCACTCGTCGTCAGTGCTGGTGTCTCCTCCCGTCGTATACCCTCCATAATTCCCCCCCTTATCACCACCCCCGTTACAATCATCACGGCCCAACACCACCGCTGCCACAACGCCTCCTCGCCCCCCCTTGCCCTCCCTGCCCCCCCACCAGCCGCCCTCACTGCTGCACCGCACAGCACTCCCCCTTTCGCCCCTCTCACCCCTCCCCACCCCTCCATTTGACCTCTGCGGCGACCTCACATACCTCCTCGGCGTTCCCACCGACACTCTGTCATCCCACTCCTTCTCTCGCTCCCTCTCCCTCGCACGCTCCCTCTCCCTCTCCCCGTCGCAACAGGCAGAGGGCGAGGGCGAGGGGGAGGGGGCGCGGCGGGCGCGCTGAAGCGAGGCGATGGTGGGGGCGAGGTGACGAGCGAGGGAGCGCGGGAGGGAGGAGGAGCGCGCACGTGAGGAGGGGAGCGTGGCGGGCTCTGATTGGCCGGGAGATTGTGGGGGGAGGAGAAGGGGGAGGGATAGGGGGAGGAGGGGAAGGGGGAGGGATAGGGGGATGAGGGGAAGGTGAGCGGTGGAGGATTGGGAGGTGGGGACGGGGGAAGAGAGATGGGTGAGAAGGGGAGAAGTGGATGGAGAAGAGGAGGTGTATATATTAGGGCTGAATGGAGTACACACAGGACTGCTGCAACATGACAGATACAGAGACAGAGAGAAACACTCATGTTCATGCAGGGATCTCCACACACGTATATGTGCACACGTACTGTGATGTTGGCAGTTCCCCCCCTCCACGTCGCTGTCACCTCCCTCAGGCGCCACCTTCCCCCACCCCCCGAACCCCCCCGCCCCCCCGCCCCCCAGGCTGCCCCTCAGGCTGTTACGGCGCGACAGAGTGGGGGAGGGGGAGGCGGAGGGGGACGCGGGGGAGGGGCGGAAGAGGGAGGAGGAGGAGGGGGAGGGGGCGAAAGGGGAGAGGGCGGAGAAAGGGCTGCGGGAGTGGAGGTGCGGAGGGGGAGAGGGGATGGGGAGGGGTTCGTCGAAGCACAGCTCTGGGTCCTTGCTGAATGGCAGCACTCGCTGGGGGGGGGGGGGGGGAGGGAGAGCGGGAAGGAGGAGAGGCGATGAGGAGAAGGTGAGGAGGAGAGGCAATGAGGAGGGGGCTATGGGAGGAGGGGAGGAGAAGGAGAGGGAAAGAGGAGGGGGACGGGGAGGAGAGAGGAAGAATGGAGAGGGGAGGACACACAGGGACAAGGTGAGATGTGATAGCAGGTACGACAAGGCTAGCACACGTGGAGAGTAGGCAGATCAACGGCCAAGAAGGCGAAGTAATACCTCAAGATCAACGGTCCAGAGAGTGACGACGGTGACGGACGCAGAGACAGCCACCAGGGAGTTGTCATTCACGCTGACGTCAGCGACCTTCGGCCATCCCACGTGGACAGTGTCGAAGCACCTGATTGGCTCCCAGCCCCACACCTGAATCCGGGCAGCAGCAGCGGGAGGGGCGGCGGGGTGGAAGGCAAGAGGATTGTCAAGTCGCCAGGGCAGAGGAAGAACTGATCCAAGGAGTGAAACGGGGTACAAAGTGGTTGATTTCTGAAATCTCGCTTTGCTGCGCGGCGCACTCACCTTGAGGTGGTCAACGCAGGGCGCGAAGAGCGCGTCCCCCTGCGGAGCAAACGCGAGGGCGGCGGTGCCGCCCGCGCCGGCCGGCGAGCAGTCAACGCAGTTGAACGACTCGAGGTCCCACCAGCGCACGGTGCGGTCGCGCGCGGCGGACGCGAGCAGCAGCTCCTGCGGGTGGAAGTCGAGCGCCGCCACCGCGCCCGCGTGCCCCGCCAGCTGCGCGAACAGCCGCCCCTGCGCCAGGTCGAACAGCTGCGCGCGGAGGCACAGGCGCGCGGAGGGAAGGAGGGGAAGGGGGGGCAGATGTGAGAGTGGAAGGCGGAAAACAGTGGAGACACGTGGTGGGGACTTGCGAGGGGTTGGGCTTATCCATCAAAACCCCCTCCTTTCCGTCTTCCTCCCCCTTCTCTTCCATCTTCCTCCCCCCTCCCTCCCTGCGCGCAGCTCACCTTGATGCGCCCATCTTGCCCGCCTGCCACAACCCACCGCCCGTCCGGACTGAACCGCACGCATCCTACAGTTTTCCCGCCCTTCCCCCCCGCGCTTTCCGCTCCGCCCCCTGCTCCCGCACCCCTCCCCTCCGCCCCTCCCCCTCCCACAGCTCCTCCGCCCTCTCCCGCGTCCCCCGCGCCCATTCCGCGGAAGACGTGCGCGGCTTCCTTCTGGCGCGGGTCCCACACGCGCGCGGTGCCGTCCGCGGGGCTGAGCGACGCGCACAGCCCGCCCGCGGAGTACAGGTCGAGCGCGACGGGCGCGGCCTTGTGGCCCGTCATCGTGCGGATGGCTGGGGGGGCGCGGGGAGGGGATGGGGGGAGGGAGGCGGCGATGAGGGGAAAGAGGGAGGCAATGAGGAGGGGCGGGGAGGGGATGAGGGGAAGGAGATGGCGGGAAGGATGCGGCGATGAGGGGAACTGGGGAGGCAAAGAGAAGGCGCGGGGAGGGGATGAGGGGAAGGGGATGGCGGGAATGGAAGGTAGACGGCAGGACTGGGAAAGGCGTATGCACGGGTTTTGCAAGACGGGAGAGAAGGATGTCGTTGCCATCGCTCCTTTCACCCCACGTTTCGGCCATCCCGACTGTAGCCACCAGTTCTAGCCGTTTCTCTACCCGCCATGGCTACCCGATTTCCTGCTCCGCGTCAGCATTCTCCTCACATCCGACCATTCAGCCCCCCCCTCACCCCTCCCACCACCAGCCCCAACATCCTCGCTCTCACCTCGCGCCTCCACCTGGTCCCAGCCCCCCCACTCACCTCGCACCTCCACCTGGTACCACCCCCCTTCCCCACTTCGCGCCTCCACCACATCCCGTTCCCCCCTCACCACGCCCCTCCCCATACTTCCCTCTCCCCCCCTCACCTCGCCCCTCGACCAGGTCCCATAGCTTCACGGCGCCCGCAGCGCCGCCCGCCACGGCGAGCTCCTCGCTGGCGTCCAGCAGCACGCTCTGAATGGCGCTCGTGTTGCCGCGCAGCGACTGGCGGCGCGAGAAGGGGAGAAAGATGCGAAGACGGGAGGTAGACGCAGTGAAGGGGAAGCAAGTTGCGGAACGGGGGAGATAGATACGGGAAACAAATGGGGTAAAAAAAATCCTCTTATCTCCTCGCTCGCGGCTAGCAGCATGCTCTGGCGACGACGTAGCAGAAACGGATGTCATCGTAAATGTTCGTCTTGCATGCCGCTCTAACCTTTCAACACGCTTCAAGTAAATCTCGAATCGCGAATCCTACCAGCAACGGCGCGCGCTGGCGGGTGGACCATAGGTGCAGCTTCTTATCGTCGCCGCCCGTTATAAACCTCTCCGCTGACTTCCTGCCGATGCTTATGCAATTCACGCTTGACGAATGAGCCGCGAAGGACCCTGGAAGCCGGGAGGGGAGAAACGTTCAGATTATAATGCTGCGAGTGTTATGGTACTTCCGAGCTATGCCGTTAGAACCTGCGACCAACGGGACTACAATCTGCCATACTTGAGGGAACCACTAAACGAGGGAAGGTAGATGCTGTTTCTACGAGAATTCTGCGAAGTCAGTTGGGGTGAACGGAAATTACATGTCTTCTGGCCTCGACGGCCTTTGTTTCCTGCCGGTTGCATGCTTCCCTTCCAACACGGAAAAAAGAGAGACAACTAATTAAACAAGCTAACGAGAACTCTTTACTAGTTAAATCGGGGGCCCGTGATCTTCTAAGCTCTGCAAGGTTATCCTACTCCATCGTCAGTGCACAATGGCATGCCCATGGTGTTCCACAGCATTCTCCCTGACTTGGTATGCACTTCGAAGTATCCGTCAGCGGCTTGAAGAATATTGCTGAAGGTGATCCCTGTGCCCAGCCCAGCCTTGGGCTTTGTTTAGCCGAAAATAGCTCAGCGGAATCAGGTCGTCGCCCGAGGGAGCTCGTTGCCCGCGGGCAAAAAAAATAAAACCCATTCGGGCATGCATCCGGTCAGGGAGGCATCAACCCTAAACACGGGGAGGCATGGATTTAGGGTTGATGCCTCCCTCGGATGGCATGCCATCCGATAGGGTTTTAGTTTTTCTCTGCCCGGGGCAGCAGGTCGTCAGGTCGTCACAGGTCGTCACAGGTCGTCAGGCTTGACGACCCAATTCCGCTGAGATCTTCTGTCGCAGTTGTTCCTCGGCGATATCGATCGGACAAGTTGAAGTTCGCCACAGTCATCGTCTTGATTTCGCACAGGGAGTTACACCCTCTGTCATGTCTCTGTCGAATTCCCGAATCGCGCGCGCGCGGCCCTGCAATTCCTGTCAACAATTGGCGGTTCGCTTCGCTGTCGGAGCAAAAACAATACCCAACGGGTCGAGTCAGAATCACTAGTTTGTCAAAACAGTGCCCCGAGTGAGGATCGAACTCACGACCTTAGGATGGCTCCGCCCAGCTCGCTAGGAGTCGGAATGCTATGAGACCTACGCGCTACCGACTGCGCCATCGAGGCTTGTGCCGATTGTGAAATTTATATTAATCATTTAGTAAAGTATTCCCTTCCTTGAGATGTACGCGTTTCTCGAAATGCAGTGGTTGGTTTGCTCAAGCTCGGCCTTGATTCTTCCACATAACCTTTCGGAAACAGGTCGCTCCTCCTCACTTCGTACATATACGAGCACGCAAAGCAGATTTTTCACAACTGCTTTCAGGCTCGATTTGACTCTGGACGACTGTGGCTTCGATTAGCTTCACAATGGCAGCAATGACTTTCCCAGTCGTTGGAGCGTTCATGTTACTGATCAGTACAGCTATGGTTTCTGGCCAAACCGATAGTAACTGGGTTATCAGCTCCACGCTCCTATCCGTAAGTGGTTTTCTCCAATGCTACTGAGATTTTCTGCTCCTTTGTCCTTCTTCTGATTCTGTTTTCGCAATTCAGAACTGCACGGCTTTTTATGATGACAATGTGCTGCAAAGAGGCGACTTTGGAGACGGCTTTGTGTTTGGGGTGGCGACAAGTGCGACTCAGGTTGGTAGTGCTTGCGGAGCTGGCTCTTTCATCAAGGTCAAGCTCATAACTCCACATACTCGACGTTCAGGTTGAAGGGGCACAATTGGAGGGAGGTCGAGGGCCCAGCATTTGGGACGTGTTTGCCGCAGTTCCTGGTACGATGACTACCTATCGTCTTGTCCCAATGGCAGTGCGCGCCTCCTTAAATTAACATCGTCATTACTCTTTAACAGGAAAAATTGCGGATTCTTCATTACCCAATATTACCACTGACCAGTACCACAAGTTCTTGGTGAGCTTCTTCTCTTTTCCCGTCGATTGTCATAATCCTTGTCGAGCTTGCTGTTCTGATGTTATACTCGTTCAGGAGGACATCAAGATTATGAAAGAACTGGGCGTCACGTCCTACCGACTATCACTCTCGTGGTCGAGGATCTTGCCAGGTCTGGTGGAATTTTGATGTATGCTTGCCGTTCCAATGATTGCAGCAGAGGATTGATCTGATTCTCTCTGCAGACGGCATTGGTGAGGTCAACTCGGCAGGTATTGACCACTACAAAACTGTTATTGAGGCACTGAAGGCAGCAGGTAATTGTTGCTACTTGTCTGAATTTGTGTGTGGTATGAGAAGCCTCTCCCTGTTGCATCTAACCGATGGCGTATTATTCATTGGCAGGCATTGAGCCAGCAGTGACGCTGTATCACTGGGACTTGCCAGATTATCTTCATGTGAACAGGGGTGGCTGGCTGAATGCTTCAATAGTGTAAGAACTTTTTTAATGTGATGCTGCCGATTTCATTGCGGTTTGCTTCATGTGAGCTATGAGCAGGGAGGCGTTCACCAACTACGCGGAAGTCTGCTTTGAGGCGTTCGGTGATGATGTCAAGACGTGGATCACTTTCAACGAACCAATGGAAACCTCGATTCAGGTACGATAGCTTTTTGAACTCTCTTCTGACTTCGCCATTACGACATCCAAAGTGACTCATTTGCCTGTATAGGGATACGGGACAGGAGGAATGGCTCCAGGAAGATGCTCAGACAGAGAAATTTGTGAAGAAGGGGATTCTGCAGTGGAATCTTACCTTGTTGCTCATAACATATTGAGGTCACACGCTTCTGCTGTTGCTTCTTACAGAGCCAATTATCAGGTCAGCCATCTTCATTGCTATTTCAATCTGCTCACTTTCGCACACACATGGACTTGGAAACTAACATCCCATTGCTGTTATGGTTGCAGAAGCTGCAGGAAGGCCGCATTGGCATCACACTAGACTCCCAGTTTTACTTCCCCATCAATCAGTCCAATGAGAACGTTGCAGCAGCTAACCGAGCTCTTGAATTCTCCTACGGATGGTAGGCTTTCTTACATCCATCCAAGCATCTCAGTCTGTGCAGGGTTGTGCTAACGAACTTCATGACTTCAGGTTCGCTGACCCAGTTTATTTTGGAGACTACCCAGAGTCCATGCGAACTCTTGTCGGTGACCGTCTGCCTCAATTCTCAGCTGCGGAAAGGCAGCAGCTTATTGGTTCTGCAGACTTCTTTGGGCTCAACTTCTACACTGCTCTGTATGTTTGGCAAGGGTCTGCCAGCGCGCCTGGAACCGCTTGGAGTGACAGCCAAGTGGGAACGTCAAGCACCAACCCGCTGACTGGTCAAGTGATTGGTGCATCAGTAAGCTGACATTGCATCTCTTCCTTCAGCCCATGCTGCAATCAGAAGTTGTTTTGAAAAATACACTCTTTTTAACATCATCCCTTGTGTTTTCAGACAGGCTCATCTTGGCTGAAGGTGGTCCCAGAAGGCATGTATGGAATGTTGATGTGGATCACAGGGCGCTACAATAGCTTTCCGATCATGATTACTGAAAACGGTATGGATCGGTTGGATGAGTCTTTTGGGTCATATGAGTACCTGTATCGAATCTTTCACTAAGGATGTCCTTGTGCTTCAGGCTCGAGTGATGTCAATGACCCTGACATTCCGCTGGAGACTGCACTCTGTGACGATCAGCGTCTAAACTTCTACAGAGACTACCTCAGCAATGTGTTGAAGGCCAAGAAGTAGGAAATCTGCTATACTCCCCATACATTCATGTTCCTTCATGGAGCCTGTCATGCTAAGATCTTTCCCATGTCATTACTGCAGGGATGGAGCAAATGTCCAGGGGTACTATGCGTGGTCCCTTCTGGACAACTGGGAATGGGCTCGTGGCTTCTTGGAGAGATTTGGCATTGTCTTTGTTGACTTCTCTAACTCTGACCTTCCCCGGTACCCGAAGGCATCAGCATTTTGGTGGCAGAAGTTTCTTAGCACTTGAGCTACACTCTACTGCTTTGGGTCGCTAAGCTCCTGCTGCAGCTGCTCCAGTATGTTCGGCATAGTTGATCTGAGTGAAGTGGACCATTTGTCTTGCCAGTGCTGTAATGCTGACCAGTGAATATTAATGTGAAGCAATTAAAATACTATGCGTCCCAGCAAAACAGGAACGAATAATGAAATAAATAAACAAATAAGCAAACAAAATAATGAAGACGTGCCTTCCTAGTGCTATACCACAGCTACAATATGCTGTGGCCGTGTGAACGAATAAACAAATGAAATAAATGAATGTTGAAGGGTGTCCAATTTCTCAGGACCATTCCCTGTATCTTCTGGTCGAGCAGGTTGCGTTCTCACTGACCTTCTTTCCTGCCCCTTCCCTCCCAGGCAGCTGCTTCCCGTCCCCGGCCTGCCAAGGGTATATTATTTTTCTTGAAAGCCCAAACGGTAACCTTCACTTCCTCCTCGCACACCGCCACGGACCATTTCCCCTCGCCTCCACCGTGCCATCACATCCACCACAGCTGCCCGCACCTCACGCACGTACTGAGCTACCCCACCTTCCCCACTCGCAGCTCTTGTCCATGAAACATCCTCCCCACACTTGTGCACTCCCTCTTGCTGCTGCTCCTGTTCAGTCGCTGCAGCTGCTGATGAGCCAGGAGCACCAATTGGAGCACCAATTGCAGCAGCAGGAGCAGCACCAGGAGGGCGAGCAGCCAATCCAGGCTCGAAATCAGGAGCAACAGGAGCGGATGCAAGGGATGCAGCAGGGCCGGTGTCAGCGGTAGCAGCAGCCGGAGCAGGGCTGGCGTGCAGAAGCAGCACGTGAGCGACACGCGAACCACAGGAGGCAGACTCGAGGCTGGCGAGGCGCAGAGGGAAGGGCTGTGGGCGCGGCAAGGGAAGGAGGGGAGAGGAAATTGACAGTCAGAGTGAGTGGTTGGGACAAGGCTAGATGAGAAGAAATGGGAGGAGGGACCAACAGGGCTACAGGCAGACGTGGCATGAGAAGCACATGGACTCTGAGGGAGTCTACTCCATGCACAATCTCTAAATGAAATCATGTAAGGTGTTAGTCCTACCTTGAGGGCCGTCTGGATGGCAGGCAGCAGACCATCCCCGTCCTCGCTCCAAATGCACACACACACCGCCCTCTCCCCCTCACTCCCTCGCCTCCTCTTGCGCCCCGCCAGCCCCTCTCCTCCCTTCCGGTCCACCTCGCCCTGCTCCTCCGTATCCTCCCTCACCTCCTCTCCCACCTCATCCCCCCTCTCCCCCTCCTCCACATGCGCCCACACCAGATCTACCTCCACTGCATCGTCCTCCCTCGGAGTGGCTTCAGGAACCTTGCCACATGCCAGCAGGCTGGAAGCAACAAACCCTGCTGCTGCTCCTGCTGCTCGTTCTGCTCTCTCTGCTCCCTCCTCTCCCACTACCTCTGCTCTCTGCCCCTCCCCTGCCTCCTCTTCTGCTCCCTCCTGCTTCCCCGAGCCCTGCTGCCCTTTCTCCCGCTCATCCTCCCCCTCTCCCCCCTCCCCACAACTTTCCCCCAAGCCTGCCCTCAGCGCCCGCAGCTGCGCCACTGCTTCCGCCAGCACGCTCGCCTTGTCCGCCTTCCCCATGCTCGCGCCTGGCAGCAGCGCGCGCAGCACGCCCAGCTGCTGGTTGATGCGCTCGCGCCTCCGCTTCTCCGCCTCGCTGTGGCTCCGCGGACCCTTCTCGCTCCAATCAAACGCCACCCGCTCCTGCTCCCGCCGCCGCCTCTCCGCCTCGCCCTCGCTGCGACCTTGCGCGCCTCCCCACGCCTCCGCCACAGGTGCAGGGGGGGCGTGACCCCATCCAATAGGAACCAGGGGTATTTGCGCTGCATGAGGTGCTGCGTGCGCGGTGGTGTGTAACGGGGCAGCAGTGGGTGCAAGAGGGGGAGTGGAGGAGACGGAGAGGGGCGAGGTCAGTAGTGCAAAACCATGAAGACCACCCTGCTGCTGCTCTTGCCCTTGCCCTTCCTCTTGCTGCTGCTGCACCTGCAAGTGCTCCAGGTGTTTCTGCTGCGTGCGCCGCCGCTTCACTCTCTCCCGCGCGCCGTGCTCCAGCGCCTGCAGAATCCGAGTCGCCTGCATCTGACCAACGCTCTTCGATCTGCTGCCACGTGGCGCCTGCCCAGCGGCTGCGGTCCCCAGCGGATCCCGGTGCGTGCTGTCGCCTGCGTGAGCCACGTCATCGCTGCCCAGAGCAGCACCACCAATGCCCGCGGCTCCCCCAGGGGCTGCGGCGGCAGCGGTGGCATTGGGATTACCAATGGCGGCAGACGCAGGGCGAGGGGGAGGCGCCATGGTCCCGCCGCTCATGCTCATCCCCCCCTTGCCTCCGAACCCGCGCTCATTCCCGCTGCGGCTTCTACTGATGCTCGGACTCCACACATTCTGCTCCCCCCTGCTCCCGCTCGCATCCCCGCTATTGCTTATCCCGATACCATCCACGAGATGCTGCGACGCTATGGGCGCCTGAGTATATTTCCCAAACAAAGAGCCGTCGATGCGATACGCACTTCTGTTACTGTCACGATCGGACAGATCACTCGCTCCCTCCTCCCTGCGACCATGGTCGGCCGCAGGGGCGCCCGCACTGCGATCGTCGACCCCACCTCCCCTTCCACCTGCGCGGAATTCGCGGAAGTCGGGTGCGAGCGATAACAGCGGCGACGGCCTCGCGTGTGGAGGACACGTGTCGTCCGTTCCGGCCGCCCTCTCAAACTGATCGTATCGCCCGGTTTCCCGCTGCTCTCCCGTCGCACCGCCCCGCGTCCCCAGATCGCAATCTCGCGCGTCGCGCCGTTCGCACTCATCGAGGCGCTCCTCGCGCTGCAGCTGGTCCAGCTGCTCCGCGACCGCCAACTGCAGCCCGCAACTCCCGCCGCCTGGTGCACGCAGCCTTCGAGGCTCCCTAAACCCGCGACCCGGAGTCTCCGACGCTTCCCAACATGCGTCGTCGCCAGACGCAGCGGTCCTGTCATGCGGTGCGGTGGGCGATTGGAATGAGGGGCGAGGGAGCGAGTCGTGCGCGCTACGGAGCTGCGAAAGCAGAGCCGCGTCCGCCGAAGCACCCGCCCCGCTCCCGCTCCCGCTCATCTCCCACGTGCGCTCCGCGTTACTCCCGCCGCCGGCGCTACCCCCCACACCGCCGCCGCTGTAATCCGCGTGCTCACTGCTGCCGCCTGTTGCTTCGCCGAGTCTTGCGGCGTCGGCCGCGGCCTTCCTTAGCTGCTCTGCCTGTTCCATCTGCCGCGTCTGCCGCATTTGCTCCAGCAGCAGCAGGTGCGACAACGCAGGCACGTCGCAGCCCGCCCAGTCAACAGCGCGCTGGTCAACGGCGGCGTCAACGGGTCGCCACGAGTTGTGATTCAACGCCGACGCCGCTGCAACGATGCTGTTGGAAGTGGAGGAGGCCATCCGAACGCCGCTCCTTGCGCCGCTAGCTCCGCCGTTGATTGCGGTGTGTTGCGGGACCCATGTGCGGGTCGCTACGTGAGAAAAGGATTCCGCAGAGGCGCGCGAAGCATGCCGAACCGCTTGCTGACTCGGCCCTGCCGATGGAGTCGCGGCGTCAAAATGCCAAGCGTGCGACAGATTTCTCGGGAGTTGCGCTGCAGGCGACGTCTGCGACAATGTCGCCAGCGCAGCTGCGGGATTCGCGAGGAGGAACGCGAGAGTTTCCGAATTCAGACTTGCCTCGTCGCTCCGCGAGTCGCGCAAATAACTCGGGGTGACCATGGGACGTTGCACGCCTAGTGCCGCAACGGATGCCATGGCAGGAAAAATCGCCGCTTCGCCTGCCGCAGTTGCGGCTGAGCCTACTCGGCCTTCGACGAGCGCGGGAAGGAATCTCGAAAACTCTGACTGACCTTGAGATCCGATTCTAAGTGGTGGCGCGCGCGGATCGTCTGCCGTTGGTGCGTGCTGATTGGATGCGAGATTCTGGCGACTAGACGACATGAGAGGCGTTTTGAAGACGCAGATTTATCAGAGGAGCTGTTTCTAATCGGGGACCATCGACGGAAAGGGGAACCAGCGAGAACGGGAGACATGGGAGTCGGAAGTCGGAAGGAGAAGCGAATTCGCATTCCAGACGCTGTACAACGTGACGATGCGAAGCTACCCCTTTCGACAGAGAAGCCTGGCAGGAGGAGCGAGGGGGCTCACGGCGAGACTACGTTGAATACCTGCGACAGCCATAATTCGTTGAAACACTGTACCGTATGCCCAACGACTCGCAGCCGCAGTGTCTATACCTAGTGCTGCCTGTGTTCGCACTTTATATAAACACTGAAGTAAAACAATCGCCAGATCCGCTGCATGAAACATGCTCTGTTCGGGGTCGGGCCCGGCCTGCAGTGTCGAAAGGCATTGGGATCGTCAAGAATAGGGTGCGGGCTGGGCGGAGGTGACGAGACGAAGCTTGAGCTGCAGCAGAAGCAAGCGGCGAGAGGAAGCGGAATGTCTAAAAGTGGACGGATGCAAATGTTGCATGTATCTGATCACGTGATCGATCCATCCCAGTCAGAGCCGCGCGGCGCATCGTCTCGTCCCAGCCCAGGGCGAATTGAGTGCATCAGATTCACCGCCCCTTTCGTCAGCCACCCACCCCGCGCTGTCGTGGCGTGCGCGTGGCCTCCCCCCATTCGCTTCCCGTGACGCGGCTGCGTCAACCTTTGGACGCTGCCATAGGCGGAAAGAAGGAAGTGTAGTTGCACTTGCAGAGTTTCTGGGCTTTTACACAAAATACCCCCAAGGTTTCGCTGTCAGTTTCAGGTCTCTCGACACCACGGTGACCTGCCCTTCCCACCGCCGTGCAGACTCTGTTACTACAATATTGGAAAGCCGTTTTCACATCACTCAGCACCACATAAATACAGCCGCATGTAGCGCTTTTTTTTTCCACAGCTTCTGAAACATTTCCGAAGCATCAGGGCTCGGGCCGGGCTATTAGCCATGAAAGGTTCAGCTCGGATGTAGGCAACTCTTTTGTTTGTTTTGATCTGAAGGAAACAGAGTTGTGGTCGTGGGCCCACAAACGGTTTTGTACCAACAAATCTTAGATTTCGCGAGATGGAGGCCTTTTCAATTGGCTAGTCACAGAACCATTGCAATCCCATAGGCTTGAGTTGAGGGAACAAACCATCGTGGAATAACCCAAATTATCCCCAGTGATGTGGGGGGGAAGGGGGCACACTGCCAAAATGAAACACTGATGTGGGCAGCAATTCACGTGAGCCTGGCAGCAATGACATGGACGATGCCCACTTGCTGCTAATCCTCCAATCGGCTGCTTTTCACCGCTTCACAAACAAGAAAGTAGTCAGCCCGCTGATTTGGCCTGCAGCATTTTCTGTCGCGCGCCAACGCACAGAACCCCCTCGTATCAATGAAATCAGTGTTCATCGTTCAAACTCATCAAGTGCTTACTACTTGTAAGGAATTTTCTAGCTATTCCTTACTACGACCGTCGACATCACGTACACCAGCAGCCGTTGATCGCCCGTTACTGCTAACGGGCTTCGCCAACTTCGCGTGCATTGTTTCACCAAACCTCGCACTGCTGGAGCAGCCGAGTCGGCCTACGCTTCGGGACTAGCCCGAACCTCGCGCCAGCGTAGCACTAGCTAGCTCGCACGCACCGCGTTACCGTTTGCATGTTTTCGCCTATAAGTATTCGCTCATGCCTTCGCTCATACTTTGTACTCTTTGAACAATCTAGTGCAATCATCGCTACCTCGATTCATTGCACCCGTAACACTATTACAGGAAATGTGAAATAGTGAAGGATGTCTCAACTATCAAGTGTGTCTTAACGTAGCTTCTTTTGTATGTTTGAAGCCTAACATTCAAAAAGGCGGCTTCGGCAGCTGCAGGTGCCCTTGCCGTAGCTTCCCCTGCTCGACCACACGCATATGGCGTAACACCTCATGGCTATTGATGTTTCAGCGCGGCCGATGTACCTTGCTCAGACTGAGCCGCCGCAACTAGAGGTGGTGGAGGCCTTCAGCGACTGGGACAGCAGTATGGAGGACTGTTTCGAGCAACTCTTCCCGTCTGGCACCATGGAGTACGACCCTGGCCGGTCTAGGCTGGCCCGCCTGCAATTGCACCTCCTTGTTCGCCTCGGCGGCTTCTTTGAGCCCGCTTTCTTACGCTTGTGGATGAGCACAGGCTGCGCGTGACCTTGCACAGTTGGGGGTAGTACGCAAGGAGACGATGTTTGCGGACAATCTCAGGAACGTCGGTGGTAGATTTTCTCGACCCGCGGTTTTCCAATAGCCTCGAGCAGTTGATGGAGGTTGTGCGCCAGTAGATGCAGAGCTTGCCCGTCTGCATCGCTCCCCCTCCCCCCCCCCCCCGTTTATTTCAGGCGCAACTGCGGCAGTTGGCCGTCGAGGAACTCTGTACTGTGCGTCGTTTGGCTCATGACAACTGTTAACGGGAGTGGAGTGTTGGCCCTGCCCTCGCTCGGGCAACGCCGACGACTTGGTTGGATGTACGGGAGTAGCAGCCGACCGTTCACAGTAGGAGAGTTGCTCGACAGGCTTCGTCGAGCTGCAGGGGACCGCTGTGGTGTTGCTGTCGACCAGGGAGCTCGACAGCTGCAACTGACTGGTCCGGGCGACGAGTGGGCCATTGAGTAGGAGGGGCAGCTCGACCGGGAGCAGTCCGTTGACCTGCAGCTCGACCGGGAGCAGTCTGTCGACCTGTAGTTCGACCGGGAGGTCGACGGAGCAATCCGTCGACCTGACAAGTGAGTAGAGGTCGACGAGGGGAGCTCAGCGACAACCGCTGACGGTTCTGATCGACGGAAGGGGTCCGTCGACTAGGGGGTAGCTCGACGGGAGTTGTGGTCGACCAGAGGCACCCGGTGGTCGACCAGAGGGACCCGATGGTCGACCGGAGGCACCTGGGGGTCGACCAGAGCACATGGGGGTCGACCAGGTCGACCGGGTAACCTGCTCGACGAGTTTTGCGGAGGCATGCGAACGTCGTCAAGGTCGCTATGGCGCAGGCGACTTCGGGCTGGTATCCCGAAGTCGTTGTGGCTCGTTAGGCGCAGACAACAGCCGACAGATGCCCAACGAGGCAAATCGGGCCAATCGTCTGCGCGCACCTGCGAGCGTGCGCACTGCTGTGTTCTACGGGGCAACGCTGGACAACCGCTCTGTTGCAGCGTTGGTACGCCGTCGACCTGCTCTGTTGGCAGGTCGCCCTTCTGCAGTGCTGGCACGGCTCCTCTACACAACGCTGGCAGGCGGTCGACCGAGCTATGCTGGCGGTCGACCAGGCTAGCTGTAGGTTTGCTAGGTGCCTGATGTAATCATTCTGTCCTTGCTTGTTCAATCATTATGTAATTTCGACTTTGCTTGTGGAAACTCTTGCCGATTTCTCACGTGAATGCGCAAGCACTAAGGAACTAAGCAAAGCTATAATCACTCCTAGTAGTTCGTGCCAGCCCCCGTAGTCTAGCTCACTACCGTTGTAGAGTGACTCTCCTCATGGTGCGGTGAGCGTGGACGGCTCCTTCAGATAGGAGCCGACTTTTGCCCCTACTAAGTCGTTCGTAGGCCGGCAGCAGCGATAGTCGCCATGGTCGACTCCGTAGCTGATGCGGGTGTAGCGGACACCTTGGAGACACGCTTGGCTTATGCGAGGAAACGCCACTCGGATGGCGAGTACGGGACGATCCCCTTGCTGATCGTCGAGTTGGGCATCCGGTCGTAGTGGGCGACGGAACACCCTTCTCGTCCTGCATCTCCTCGACCGGTGCGCAACGAAGGTGGCGTCGACGACGAGGTCGACAGTGGTGCACGAGTCAGCGGCAGCGAAGGCACGAGGCAGAGAGGGGTGATCAAGGTCGACGGTGGTGTCGACGGAATCCAGGCGCGAGTGCAGCGGTCGACGGCGGCAATAGGCAGCTCGCGTGCCGACGCCGACGTTTGACGTCGCTCTCCTCTACGAAGCGGTGGAGGGCTATCGGCGACGACGCATGCGACGGTGGGCGGGATTGCACCAGCGTACGGTTACTTCAAGTTCTCGCTGGATCGAATCACCGTCATACCTCTGCAAGGTCATCACCTGGAGGGAGTCGATCGAACCTCAGCTATGCGGAGATAACTACTACAACGGGAGCTAAACTACGGGCTAGACACGAGTGCGTGTGTGATCTCTGCGTTCGTTGGCCCTTAGTCGTTTTCCTAGTGCACACACAGCTTGCTAGTTCACGGGGAGAATTGGCAAGAGTTTCACAAGAGAAAGTTGACAACAATGGTACAATGAAGTTGGCATGGCAAGACTACATCAGAGCTAGCATTCAGGTCGGTCGACTGCCAGCACAGCATGGTCGACCGCGTTCCAGCACGACTTGGTCGACCGCGCTCCAGCAGTGCAAAGTCGACAGCGTGCCAACG